ATTCCAAGCAGTCGTCCCACAATTTAGCGATACGAGAACACGAAAGTGCTGAAAATGGCAAGAAAGCCACTAATTTCCCACAATAGTAATTAAGTTCATTAGTAAATTGCGCTGCAATTTGCATTAATTGGCTTGTAAATATTAGCATTAAATGCGTATTAGATTTGCATTTGATAACCAAGTCCACTTCTCAGGCGAACGGGTGAATGAGAGGAATTTCCCAGGTGTGACGAGAGGCATGGATGTCAGGTGATACTCCAATGGACAGTCAATTATCGGAATTGTGTGAATTGTTCGCTGGGATGCTGAGGAGAGAATTAGGAGGTGAAGTGGAGACTCTATTGCATAAAGTGTGTGTCTGCACTCGACGGGTGGAGAGTGCAAAGGTGGGTGGTTTGGGGGTTTGAGGAGCTGCAAAATGGACAGACATATGGATAAAATACGGTCGTGTCGCATCCACGGCGAGTGAGATGGCGTAAGAAGAGTAAGAAGTGTGGTGATTGGAAAAAGACACCGTGTCAATGAACTGTTAAAAACTCAGACTATTTTATAACCCGTCGCGCGCTTTTTTATGCAATCGTGCATACGTTATTTCGAATTGTGAATCGAGGTGTATATTTTTTTTGTACATCTCAAATTGTCCAGGTGCGTTCAAAGACCAAAATAGTTCAAGAATTAACTATTGCCGCGAGAAAATCCTGTGACATTCTTTCGAAATTCTGCAAGAAAATCAATTGATTTTCAATAAGATTTCCTTGAATGTGTTCTTGTAGGACACAGAATGTATCTTCATATCTCTCAGCGAGATTTTTTGTAAGCCACCTTTTTCGGGTGGCTATTTTTAGCTCCACGCAAGAAGAATGTCTCTTGAAATGTTTCATGCAATTGCGAATGAATTTATGCTCCTCATTGATGCACCTTTTTGGGTGCGCGTCGAAGAAGAGACACTGGGTTTGTTGCGTGAAATACTTTTTGATAAATTTAAATTGGTGAAAAACGGTGGACAATAAAGGCCGCACCGTATCTTGGCATCGCAAGAAATAAGAAAACGAGTTAAACTTTTGTAAGTCACACACAGAGAAATTTTTTCTTTCACATTGGTGCGCAGAGTCGGGAAAAGATCGGTCTTTTTGGGAAGGTGCGCGAGAGCTGTCTTTTTTCTGTCATCTCGAGAGGGGGATCTTTTGGGTGTTGGTGGAAAAGAAACGCGTGTACGCAATTTTTTTATTGCGTATCGGTGAAAAATTTATGTATGCGCCTTTTCGCCTAAAGCCATCATCAACACAGAAAAATGGGCAGATTTGGGTACCGTTCTCTCCTCATGCAAATTGACAAGGAGGTGAAGATAAATAAAAAGAAAGAAAGAGAGACGTTTAATGAGAAATACTTGATTTTTACTCGCAGCGTTAATTGCCATCGAGAACACTTGTTTCATGAAAATTAATTACCAAGTCCAAAAATTGTATTTTATTTGCGAAGTTGCCTAAAGTGATTGTATCAAGAAGGTCACAAGGAAGTATGTGGAGAAAGGACATGGCTAGATTATTTTATTCACTCAAAGGGGAGACAAATGTGGAATCTGTGCATTACATTTTTAACGTATTTCTTAAATGGTTTTTCACACATTCCTGAGGTCATCGTCTAAGTTTTTCTATTTCATAAAAAGGCTCACTTTCTGCACTCTGCTTAGATTTTATTTAAATCTTATTTAAAAGTTTTATTTTATTTGAATCTGAATAGTGAATTTACAGTTTTGGTTTATAATATGTAATTCTGTTCCAAAAATTTAGATGAAGCTTGAAATGTTAATCGATAAACATGGCTTTTCTAGGAATAACTAGATTGAATTGTGAGGTAATTAATGAAAGTAATTTCTCCTTCAACGCACTTCTGATGAACTGTGTATACAATTTCTGACCACGATCACATCACCTCCTTGATGTTAACTCAAATTTGATAGATAAATTTGAGTTTTTTAGGTTCGAGAAAGAGAAGTTGGCGACCTCTCGAAAACAGAGACATTCGAGTATTTAGTATGCATGTTAAGAGCGCCTTTCATATTTGCATTTCACTGTATTTTATTGGGTCAATAATTGAACACCAACGAGATAAATTGTATATATGTACATACATATTACAAATTATTTTATTGTATACCAATGAGATGTAAACACAGAAATTTCTCACCGCGTGTCAGGTAGAAAGTTTCATATCCTAACGTCTCTATAGTCGACTTTCTGAGGAAGTTCAGATGCTCTGGCTTTTCAGATTTTTCAGACATCCACCAAAATTTTCTGCTGAATTTCAAATGTGTCTGGAAAACCCGTGTGATTTTTGCTAATATTTGCGCGTGTTTTCTCATTGAAATTTTCTCTTGGTACAATATTTGTTCATCTTTCTGGCGGTGGCGAAAAGAGCGCGACGTAAGAAGTAGAAAAAAGTCTGATTTACTCGCGACAAGCAATTTTGGGGTTACGAAAAAACCAGTGGATTTTGTAATTTTTCAGTGAATAAATCAATTTAATAAATAAATTCGGCAGTGACTTTTGCATTGGGCTTGACAGTGCTGCAAGATCTGCCACTTTGTCGGCCTGGACACACCAAAAAATTGTGCGTGGGGAAATGAAGAAATGGACATTTAAAAAATGGGTTTGTTTTAAATTTTTGCACTGGCAACTGGTGGAATTTTTGCGTAAATTTTCCACTTTTGCAGCCTTTTCGATTATGTCGGTGGTGTATAGGTCAAGAACTGGGTACGGTTTTCGATTTTGGGGCTGATTTTGGTGGTAATATGAATGGATTTTCCTCATGTTTGCAACACTGAGTATTGTTGCCTGATGTGTGGAGTGCATGCACACTTGTTGAGGCATTTGGAATGCAAATGTGACAAAGATAAATTTATGATTGACACCGAAGGCCCGTGCATTGGCCTCTGATCGTCTATTGGTAACATTTTGGGCTCACATGCGTGTGTCCCATGGCAAAATGTACGTGAATATGTATAAAGTTGAGGACCTCGTTTTATTCAGCTGATTGGAGAAAGTCTGGTCAATTTGAGAGTTCATTCAACTTGCTTGAGTCACATCCAAATTGGTATTCATATCATGAGATTTGCGGATGGGTAGAAAAAGACACTTTTTGTGTATTCTGTCCCAGTGCTGTGTTGAATTGGATTGGAAAGGTGTGAGTTGAGAAAACTGTCTCTCTGCAGTACGCAAAATCGTGTACATTTTGAGAAAACTGTAATTATAAACCTGTCTCGGGTGAAAAATTGGTCAACAGACAGATTAAGAGTCTCTCTCTTGCCGTGAAAGACAGTCAGGTCGGCTTTTTTAGCTGATGGCACCGTCGTGAAAAGGTTGAGGCTGCCTTCTTGACTCACTTCCTAATATGCAAAAATTGTCGATGGTATTTTGCAATTTTTTCGCCGTTGTTTTGTTGCTCGTTTTATGCCAAAAAGGATATCAATTTCATGGTCCACACATTCACATGACTCTAAATTTTATCTATTTTTAAACGGCTGAAGAAAATTTCCTGGTTTTTTTTCTGTCGGCATGCAAATTGGGTTGTGGAATAAATTAGAAGAAAAACGCAAACAGTGAAGTTTTCCTGATCACTGACTTCCTGCATCATTTGGTATTCACCACGAGTTCTTTGTCATGTTCATTAGTCAGCAATCGTGTCTGTCCAATAAGTCTGAATCTCTTCCTGCGCAACCTTTGGGATGTCCGCACGTGAAGATGCGTTTTTTGATCGCTTTTTTGAGGTTGAGCAGAAAACCTTCTTTGAGGTGAAATCCATGACGCACGCGGTGCATCTATAATGAGCAAAAGGTCTCAACTGTACAGCGAACCTCTGTCACATCTCTTCGGGTCAGTAGAGATTGATGGCAGAGAAACAAGAATAAAAGAACGAAGTATTCAAGTGAAAATGGACATTGACACCGCGATGGTTGTTCGTCTTCTGTCCAAGGAGACTACAGAGTTATTGGAACACTGCGATAAATTCATATGATTGAATCCACGAGGAATAGAACAAAAGAGTAGTTACTACGTTTCTCACTTGATTTTTACTCAGTGTACTTTTTGTTGTTTATCATAGTGAGCTTAAGCGGTCATTGCCATCGTCACTTATATGTTGACCATTCTCTTTGCACCTCTGAGAAATTATCACTTGAACCAATTTCTCAAACAACCTCAACGAACTAATGGACAATATGCAAATTTGCCAAATGCCCTCCCCAAAAAGAGAATAGCTTCTGTCTTGCGACTTTCTTTTACACATTTTCGATCATAAATTCACTTTATGTATCCTCTCGAGATCTTTCTTTTTCTTTCTCTCTCGTAAAAGCGTGGCGCATTCAGTGGGAATTTCACCGAAAAAGACAACAGAGAGACAAAATGTAGTGAGATAAGAAAGGAGAAAATTCCGTGATAAACACCAGTGATCCTCTCTAAGAGTCTCCTCAGCGAGTGATCGCGTGTGCACAGAGCTGATCATGTAAGACATTTCGCCGATTGTCCAATAAATAACTGTATACAACAAGCGAATCAACACTCGGTCAATGAACTATGCGGCGAGAATCGCCCCCCGCCAAACGACCTATATATATCATCCGTGAATGTGGAACACTAGGTGACAGCTGATCGAAAGGCGCAGCACACAAGCGCACAGCCAGTCGAGCGACGATGGGGCAAAGCAGAAGGACAATTGAGCCGAGGCGTCGGACTTTCCAAACACTTTTCGCGGCCGGAGAAATTTCACATCGCGCCCGGCCCTCGGAGTCGCGCCAATTTGGCGAAAAGCAGCCCGCGCCCCGGAAAATTGTCAATGGAGAGCGCGAATGTGTGTGCGGCCACGATCACCTTTCTACTTTCATCAATGATCGTCACCGCAACCCAGTTGATGATGCATCAGAGAGAAATATTGTTAGTTTCTCGGTTCATTCAACCCGCACGAGAATACATACAAGTCCTCACATAAAGCGAAATGATTTCTTATAGATATATTTTTAATTTTCCTCTTAATTACATACATATTCATCATCTCTCTCTATTCACGTCACATGCAACTATGTATTCCACATATGTATGTGCACACATTCTGTCATTTCTTGTCAATATTATGTGTCATCTCCTCACTCTTCACCCACTTTTCCCCGCAGCGGCGCTACTCGATGTACGCCAATTCGACGAGCGCCTCACTTCACGCACGCCGTTTAATCCTTTGAGGACGAAAAGGTTCTGAGAAGGAAGATTAAAAGGGATTTTATACACTTCTCAGTACTTTATATGCAACTAGCAAATATATTTACTCAAGACTTGAAGATTTGCCTGCGATATATTTTAGATAAACAGAGAGTTTTTTTCCTCACAAATTACATGTGAGAAAAGCGCGTCTCGCCGATGTGAAAATTTAACGATAGGCGAAGAAAAGTGCTCCGCATTGACCATAATGTAGGTTACATCCACGCTGGGTATATTACTCGAAGAAATTATTATATTGCTCATATAGTCAACAAATTGAATGGAATATTAAATGTGAAGTGCACAATAAATTGCATACGTTTGCACGTGAAAAGGGGATATCAAGTTTTTGTGCATCCAGCGCACATTTCATGCCGTACGTGCATGTTATGTATAGTTCTATATTCACAATTACTTTGGGGCCATCGCGACGCATCTTATCGCCAATGACTGTATTTCACTTGATGCAAAGCAATGCACCAGTGAATATATTGGTGACAAAATGGGAAAGAGCTTTTCTTTCCACTGCTGCAGTTTGATCAGCAACTTTTCACTTCCTTGCGGAACTCGTTTCCGTTCGCTCAAAAGTCGATTTGGCATGAATTGCACCAGAACTGAGTCGCCATTTCAGATAACATGTAATAAGATGCACAGTTCAGTAAATTCTGTCAATTGTGTGGCGAAAATGTGAAAATTTATATGATGAGCATTCATTTTTGGTCATACTAATTTGAAATATGTTGTCCTTATCTTGCAGAACACACAACAAACTGAGGCGATGATTGAGATGTAGTTGCAATTGTACAAAGGCAATAAAACTAGGTAAGAAAATTCACCCGAGGAAATTTATCGTCTTACGGCACAAACATCATAATAATGTGTTTATCTGCACTACGCGTAGCATGAAATTGATGGGAAATCGTGTGAATTGCGCATCATTTTCAATGATATTTTGTTTCTTTTTCAATAAAAAAAAAATTGCAGAATACTTGATATGTTTACACTGAAGAGACATTTTTTTCCACTACGAAGACAATCAACAGAAGAGAAATGAATGAAATTCTCTAAAATGTTTTACTTTTGATCTTCCCACGCACAACAATATGTTCACATGACGCCTAGAGAAAATAATAAATCAATTTAGTGTGACTCTCATTCTCGTTTTCCTTCCCTCTTCTCAATTGTGAGGTGATGATCTCGGAATAGAGGCTTGATTAACAATTGAAATGTCTCAATTTTGCCACAAGAAGTGGGTCACGATCAAACCAATATTTATGCATAAGCTTATATGTGTACAAATTGTGATGCTGCCACTACAGAAGCACTCGCGAGAAATAAACATTCACTTAATCTGTCTATGCGCACCCTCTCTCCGAATATTTTTTCTTAAATTGCTGTCCATCTCAGATTGATTTCTACATCAAGTCAAATCTGCAATTGAAAATCAGAATTGACTTTTTTGTGCTTTTGAATCAGAGAAAGGAATGACTTTACTATCGAGTGAAGTGAAAGAGAGAAAACAAATGAAACATTGCTGATGAATTGAAATAGTTAAACGTTAAACTTTTCTCTGATAATAATCCTTAAATTGGAATCCTTTCAACTGAAGATCGGATCTAGTTCAAACTTTACTACTCTTGCCATTGTTTATCAATCTATTTCGATCCTCTTTGCGCTATATTCAGACACGTCATACAACAATTGATTTTACTTAGCCAAATCCATGATGTAATTAGAAAGAAATTGGTTGACGACAAAATTCCTGCTATGCATAAGTTGCGCAGAGCAAGTGCTTGTCTACTTTCCTAACACATGTTCCCACATAATTTCCCGTGAATTTGATATCTTTCTCACGCTCGCACAGCCGGCAAAAGGGAAAGAGAGATCATCTGTTATCACACGGCATCGCCATCAAAGGCGTGAAAAAATCGATTTCAGAATAACTTTTCCTTCTCAGCTCTTTGTGCTACTATTTCACACTGGGCGGCAAAGTGATTTTATATATTTTTCACTTTATTCCATTGCCTTCTCTTTGGGATGATGATTCTCGTTGCATTGGTGTTTGTGGCTGGCGAAATCAATGCCGGTGAGAAGAAGTAAAAACGAACAGAAATCTGTACCAGAAAGAAGAAGCACTTTCCCACTGTCACATTGCAGAAAAGTACAATCTGTTTTTTCTTCCCAACGAGAGTGTGTCTCTCGCTTTTTCCTTTTCTTAATTGAGCAAAATGACGGAGGAACGCGAAAACATGCATTTTAAATATATGTTAGTAGAAAATTTCAATTTCCCTTGTGGCACACGAGGTTGTTTTTATGTGCATTTCCCTCCATCTCGCTCTCTCGCCGTGACCATGAGATCGCTCATCTCTCTGGCAGTGTGTGATAATTTTGAATTTGTAACATTATTGGAAAAAGTGGGATGATGAGAGCACATTTTTCTTAAATTGAAAGTATCAGAGAGAAATCACGCTGACATACCGCAAGCTTCGCCGATTAATTTGTAAGGAAATTTCAATGCACATCGTCACACTGCAATTAAGCGTCATCGCCAACTGATGTGTAGAAGGAGAGATTTCTGAACTCCATCAAAACAGACTCGGCTTCCTTGAGTGAGAGAAGATAAAAGAGACGAAAAAGAGAAGATATTTGTATCAATTTCACCCAACAATTTCTCTCTATGCCGCATTTCCCTTACATTTCTCACTTGCTCGTCCGAATCATACGCCAGGGCCTCGAGCGTGTCCCTCATGCCGCTTGACCACTTCGTCTGCAGACTGGCGCAGCTAAATCTGCCCAGGATGCGCAGCAGAATGCAGGTTCGATAGCGTAAGAGATTGCTGCTGTGCTTCAGGAACTTCACCAGATCCACTTTCTCGTCAAACACAATCTTCTCCACGAGGTACGCATTTTCCGGCATTTCCCGAATTGTGCACGCCAGAATGGCCACGACAGTGCTCATGAGACGAACATAGTGGCAGTTTCCACTCTCTGAAAAGCAACAGGAAGACTTCAGTTGAGCTCTAGCTGGCCTCAAGACCTTCTCACCTGAGTAAATGAAATTCACCAGCAGTTGTGTGGCTCCCAGGACAACCAGTGCGTCGCAGAATTGGCTGAGGCAGCAGTCGCTGAGGTGAACTAAGTGGCACACAAGTTCATAGAGGCTCGCTAGCGTCTTGATGTCGTCTTGGGACAAATCTCTCAGCGTCTTGCACATGTAATTGTCGGATTGAATAGGTGATGGACTGTCACTGGTTTCTATTTCACGCCTGCAGCAGAGCAATTTCGACGCATAAACCAAATTTGGCACAAGTTTCACTTCCACATAAACCTGCAAGAAAAGACGAGGAAAGTTTCTCAGTTTCGCCATCTCATCTCACTGCCAGACTCATCATACATTTCGTATGTCGAGGAGGACACTCGGTGGCCCACCCAGTATGAACGGCAAACTCAGGAGCTGAGTCACGCTTTCCACAACTTTGCAGGAGGCCTTTGAGTTCCTCAGCGGAGACACGATGATGTTAATCAGGTTGTGTTGCATCAAGGAGTCAACTTCCCCGTCCAGAATCTCTTGCATCGACCGATGAATGAAGGCGAGCCACTCGTCGTTCTCAATCGGAGAGCTCTGGGTGTCGTCGCAAGAGTCCCAGCCAGGAGACAACTCTGGAAGGCGATTCTCCACAGTCTCCGGATCAGTGACACCTGAGGAACCCATGGATTTCTCCACCTTCTTCTCGGACATCCGACGTTCACTGTCTTCCGTCACCTTTGCGCTCTTCTCCTCATCTTCAGCTCCAGTTTCGAGTCTCAGGGAGAAATTGTCCAGATTCTGACTGAGTTTTTTCCTCTCCAACTCATTGTTTTTCGATCTCTTGTGATTTTCCTTCATGTTGATCTCTTTAGCGGATTTCACGGACTTGGCAAAGTTGTCATTCATCCTCCCAAGAACCATATTTTCATTCCCGGACACATAGACAACATCGTCCCTTGCCGCCCGAGGTGATTCCTCGTTGTCTGTCTCGAGAGGCTCCAGATCACTTTGGAGAATTGCGTGCGTGCTGTCGCGAGAAGATGTTGCATCATCGTCAATAGGAAGGTTCTTTAGCTGAGGCGGTTTGAGTATTCTGGGGGATGTGAACGAGTGTCTTTTCCCATCCATCAGCATCTCCGCCTGGCGCTCCTTCTCGCGCGACTGTGACGCTGTGAGTGGTTTCGTGAAGGGTGAATCGGGAATGTCTTCCTTGAGAATGACAAGATTATCTTTAACGAACTCATGATTTAGAATGCTCTCCCATTCGACGCGAAGTCGGCTATTTTTCTCCAACAGTCCTTGTAGAAAGGAGATGCAGGAATCTGTGAGGAAACTCGGCCACTTCACATCATCGCGCTGAATGAATTTTACGAGCTGCACAATATTGTCCGTACAGAAGGGTGGTTGACCAGCCAGACACTCGTAGATTATGCATCCCAGAGACCAGAAATCCGCCTTATAGTCGTAGGGTTTCTCCTGTATAATTTCAGGAGCCATGTAAAGAGGAGTTCCCTTGATAGAGGTCAAAACGTGCGTATCGATAGTCATGTTCCGAGCTAAGCCGAAATCGCACAGCTTTCCATGTTCCTCCTTGTCAATCAGGATGTTCTGGGGCTTGAGATCTCGATGCAGGATGCGATGCGAGTGTAGGTAGTATAGGGCAGACACGAGATCGTAAGTCAGTCTCCTCGTTCGAGGCTCTCCGATTGATCCTTCCCGCAGAAGTGTGTGCAAATCGCACTGTGCGAATTCCATGATCACCACAATCTCTTTCGATGTCTCAAAGGAGTTCAGCATCTGAATCACGTTTGGGTGTCGCAGTTGCATCTGAATCTCGTACTCCATCCGCAGGTTTTTCAATTCCCTGGAAGACCGGCCACTCTGGAAGAGAATGTAAACAAGTTTCACACAAGGCAATTTCTCAGTGAAATTCCTCACCTTTTGGATTCTCTTCAGCGCCACGATGTTCTTGCTGTCATTTTCAATCGCTTTGTACACTCTCCCAAAGGATCCCTGTCCGATGGGGGTGGAAAAAAGGGTGTATTTGTCCATTGTTTACAAACACTGTCCAGACTCCACTTCATTGACGTTTCCCACTGAAATATTTACTGGTTGTCTCTTTCTAACACCTGTTGAGCGCTTCTACTAGCCTATACAAGAGGGCGTAGCTGAGGCTTATTTGAATCGGGATTCGGTCCAACTGTTGGAGAATCGTTTTTATATTGCATAGTACAATTAAGTATTAAATGTTATTTGTTGACTACAATATTGTTCAGGAAGTGTCACGTTTTATGATTATCGTCAGGGACGAGCACTGATATAAAGGAAGTTGTATGTTTGTGCGTTTAAACGGTTTAACCCTTTAGACTTGCACGATTCGCCCCATGTCATCCCTTCTCATATTTACATAGTTTTTTGGTCAGCTTATCAGCTTCCAATCAGTTCCAGTCCAGAAATAAGCAAATTCAAAATCGAGGAATTTATCCATTTTACTTTTATCCTTTTTCCTATTTATTCTAATACAGTTTATTCCTGGCCTTCGATCAGCTACACTGACCCTCGTTCTGAACACACCACTTGGGCGCCACTGCCTCTGCCCGGATTTCCCGAGTCACCAGTCTATCTCTGTGTCTGTAAAATCTGGTCTCTGCCAGATTTGCGCCTGTGTCCGGATTAGACCACAGTCTTTCTCCCAGAGCAGCAGTCCTAGGCCATGTGAGCGTTTCTGCAAAGGATGTTAAAAGTTGTAGGCCAACGCTTAGATTGGATACCACTGTTTAACTTACCAACTGTATTGAGATCAACAAGTTCGGACCAGAGGCACGTTTCGCCCCCGAGAACTCCATCGTTTGTGGGGATGCGATTGTTGTACACCTTCCGCCAGGAAGCGTATGACGTTATGCCCCAGAAGCCGTGGTCCAGATACCAGGCGTCTTTTGTGGAGAAGATGACTCTGTAGCCCTTCTCGAGTAGCATGCTGGGAATTTGATCGTCGGCCTTCAGCCATGCTTGGACAACATATCGTTCCTTCTCCAGATAGTGCTCAATAGTGTCCGGGAGTGTCAGGTGGCTGGACCACAGAACGACTGGAGGCGGTGGCTTTCTGGGATCTCGACTGCTAGGCGCTCTGCCGCTCTCTTCGTCCCAAATCCTGAGCGCGGATGCCTGAAACTCAGCCCAGAGTTGCATGAAATCCTCCACTTGGAGGTCTCTGCCGCGAGATCGCAGAAGATCTCTTATCTCTTGCGAGGAATTCCAACAGGGGAAGAACACCTCATCGCCGCCCATGTGAATAGTCTCTTCCGGAGCGATTACATCCATTATGTCGCGATAAATGTCCCTGAGGACGTGATAGAGATTCGGGTTGATGGGATTGAGTTGTCCGCACGGCGGCTGGATGCATAAATTCCTCCAAGGCTGCTCATTTACGCAGATCGCCAACTCCCCCAGGCCATGCTGTGGACCCCAGCTCCAGCCATTTCCAGCATGAGCTGGAGCATCCAACTCCAGGATCACCCTGATTCCCCGCGCTCGACTCCATCTTACAACTGAGCGCACGTCCGATTGATGGTAAACGGCATCCGCCGAATAGGCGCCCCATTGCGCCATGAGAGGCACTCTGGGCGTCTCCAGGGGGAAACTTTGGGAGTCTGTGATGTGCCAGTGAAATACGTTGAGCTTTGTGGATGCCATTCCGTCCAAGATCTTTCGGATCTGTCGGATGGGTATAAAATTTCGCGCTGTGTCCAGCATAAATCCTCGGTGGGAGTAAACAGGAGCATCTCTGATGCGCGCAGCTTCTGTTATCACGAGTCCATTGCGATAGGAATTTTCAGGTCCCGGTTGGACTGTAATGAGCTGTGACAGAGTCTCGAGGCCGTGTCGAGCACCATAAACTGTGGCTGCTGCAATGTCCACGGAGACTTTAGTGCCTGAAATCAGAGGATCAGAAAGGACATTGATGAGCATGCGCTGTTCTGAAGAGTTAAGTTCTCTTTCGATTACTAACCGAGCGTGGATATGTCCAAACTGTAGGATTCTACTGTGTCCCAGGAAAGGGTTGTGTCCGGCGACGTAATGAATATCCTCACGATAACCTCCGTTTCCGAGGGAAGTGTGCAATTCGAGCTACACTCGTATTTGATGCTTCTCATGAACAGTTTGGTCATGTCTACCATGAGATCTTTCGTGGCCAGAGGGATATCTTGAAAGTCGAATCTGATGAAGTTCGGATGGAATTGCATCAAACTCGGTCCGATGAAAGTGTTTCCGGTGGGACGCGGCCACAAAGCGCCGTGGTTTCCGCAAACAAGGCGGCAAATTTTCAATGTTTCATAAATGCGTTCGTTGAATTCACCAAAGGATGTTTCCTGATTAAGCGCATTCTTGTTGACGCGGACACACTTTTGCTCCTGGACACACTTGAAAGCCCACAAATCCGCCTTGGCCACAGTGAGTGTGCCGAGAAGCAGCAAGAGACGAAGCATTGTTGAATCTATGGTTAAAATGCAGATGGAATTCATCGGTCAGTGGGTCGCTAATCTAGATGATGCGAATAATATCGATAAGATTGGGAGGAAGTCATCAGAGAGATAACGTGGTGCTATTCAGACAATAGTGAAAATATATTTAAGGTCAATAACCGTGCCGATTTTGCCAGTGCAAACATAACTATCTGCAGAAGAACAATGGATTGATCGATGCTTGCGGCATAGCAGTCGGATTTTCGCATGTTTGACTGTTTTTAACATGCATGTATTCAAGAAGTTCGCCATAATTGGTCGTTTATATGCGATAGAGAAGTGGCAGAAAGGAAGTGTTTGGTTCGCTTCTTATCACAAATGCCTTGTTCTATCACCCAGTAAACATTTTACAAGACGCAATAAATAAGAACATAACATGTTAATTGATATGCAGTAGTTTTTATCCTCAATTTTTTTTTATTTTTAGAAAATATTGATTTATGCGACCCAGAGAAGTGTGACTTAAGCAAGCCCACAGTTAGATTTCTATATAATTGAGCATTTCACTATTTACCCACTGGCCTCTGATGCACACTCTTGCCAAGCAATTTCTTATGCTTGGTGAGAAAAACGTTCACACAATAAGACACAGTTTGAGATGCACGGAATACTAGCACGTGCTTCGGTAATTGTGATCTCTTCACGTTCCGATTTTTTTTACTGTGCCGCCTCTCCTTTGCATACGCAAAGACGCATCTTCAGAAAGTCTTCCATTTCTGTGTCGCGCCTCCATTTAAGAGGAAGTGATGCGCGAGCGATACCAATTTTAGCTCTGATTTTCATCACACTCGCAAAAGTGACGTCTGAGATCGACGAAATAGGGACAAATGTATCAAGAAGATGCACCTATTTTAAGACACTCTCGCACGCACTCATCAGATCGAGTCTCGTTCACGTTACAAATCCGACCACGGAGAGAAAAATCACTTTTGCTCTTGCAATTTTCCCACTAAACAAGTCTTCACCTGATTGGCAGCGATGACTGGATGAGACCCAGCAAATCTGGTGATTTCCGTCGTCAGCCGACCGAGTCGGAATACCTTACAATCCCAGAGCGGCACCACCAGTCAGCTCGGTGGTCAGCTGCAAACTGAAGCTCACGCCAGACTTCCAGGCATTTTAACACGGCACTTGAGCTCCAGGCGTGCGATGGTGCTTTTTGCCGGCCAAGAAGTCGCTCCACGGGCTCGTATTTCAGGTGTTTTGAGAATATTTTGTCGCCTCTCCTCTCACGCTCAAATGCCATGTGCTGCCGCCAGAGTTGATGGCCGTTGAGATCTCAGAACCAGAAGAACGATCAATCATCTCTCCACGATCAATTTCGGGGCAATTCTCTATTTTCACAGTCAAAATTGCGAGTAGCTAAGCTTATGGAAGAGTTGAGATTTTGTGGCCGAATCGCAATGCTGCAGACCCGATTTGGGGCTGAACTAAAGAAACCAACAACCCAAAAAGTGAAAATTGCGTTAAGCACAGTAACTTTGCTTTTTTGGCTTAAATTACATATTTTAAATGTAATAAAATATTATTAAAGAATCTTAAACCTCGCCATAGAAAAGTACTGTAATGTAAATCTCAGCTCCTAAAAAGCTATTTAGGTATATTTACCACATTCATTTCCGATCTGCAGATCTAAAGCACTGCAAATGTTCAACTCTGTTAACTTATGGCAGATGTTCGAGTACTTTTGCGAATGATGTAGCGTTTATTGAGCCAACCAGTTCATGTGGTTTTATTGTGGTGTCTGTCTTATGAGAAAACAATGTCTTTGCCACAACACTAAATGTCCTCCTCACCTTTGCTGGGAGTCCATCAATTGCCGGCGAAATGCAAATGAGACTACAAATTTGTGCGCTCTCTTACAATGTCAATGTTCCGCTAAGCAAATATGCGACTCATAGATTTGAAGAAGAAAAAAACTGATTGACAATATAAGATGATCGGCGAGATGGTTAAATGCAGTGAATAAGATTGAATTAGGCGGAGAGACAGGAGTTCAGCAACCTCACGAGTTGCGACAGAGTAAACTGCCATTGATTAATTTCGCAAATAGAATCGTAATTGATGAGTCAACGATGTAAAGAGTGTCTTAACAGTTAATCTAATACCTTTTGATCTTGTGCGTGGAAAAAATGTCGTGTCACAGAGAGACACAAAAATTCACTCATACATTTATTAAGACATGTTTTTCCTTTCCATTTCGCGCGCAAGAAGTCAAATATCCATCCAGTTGAGCCCCTTTTTCAGAGTCCACTGGCTTTTATAGGCTTGCAAAATAAACTCTGGTGGAACCTGTTCCGTCTCGTGAACTCTGGCGATTTTGCAGATTACTTCCTCGAGTAGTCAATACAGCCGTTCGACGTCAAGTCAATCTCCTCAGAATCAGAAGAGGCTTCAGATTCGGAGTTTTCGCGTGCCTGGAAGACCACATTGTTGTTATTGTTGGCTTCGCCGTCCTTCTCTGGCCGCGGAGAGTAACTCATGGGGGAACTTTCGGTCGCTGACAACTCCAGAGGAGTGCTCGTGGAAGACTTGGTGGCTGGCGGCTGGAAAGCCGGATGCATGAGCGTGAATCCAGGATCACTGACGCCGTTCGAGGGTGGTGGACAAGGCGTGGGATTTGGGGCGCTCAGGAGAGGCTTCTCATTCACTGGTGGAATTGGTGGCGGAGGATTTCCGTGCATTGAGGACTCGGGCGGAGGACGTCCTGGAATCATCACAGGTGGTGCGCCAAGACTAAGACATCGCATCCGCCAAGCGTCTTGCAAAAGCTGCAAGCGAGCTTGCTTCCTCCACTTGGCGCGACGATTCTGGAACCACACCTGTGACAAAATTAGACACACACGTGAGAAGATTAACCACAATAACAGGTCAAAGACTCTCGAAATCAGAGATGAAACTGATAGCTTTCGGATAGATGAAGATTCGAGATGCTCATTTAATTTGTACAGGAATTTACGCACTCTTTATGGGAAATTAGAACTGGTTTTGTCATCTCTGATCGTGTTCACTTGTGACATCCCTAAATAGGATCACTTGCAACTCACTTGAACTCTGGCTTCACTGAGACTGATCCTGAGCGCCACTTCCTCTCGCAGGAAGACGTCTGGGTAGTGAGTCTTCTGGAAAAGTGCCTCGAGCTCTTGCAGCTGCTGAGGCGTGAAGGTGGTGCGATTGCGACGCTGTCTTCGTCGTCCGAACATGTATTCCGTGAGCAGATCGTTGGGCAGAGGCGACAGGAAGGGTCCAGCCATAGTTTCTGGATTCTGGCAACTCTCCAGGATGAGATGTGAACTGCAACTGATTGCGAAGTTGACGATGAACCATATTTTACCCTTCGAAGCACTATTTATCCCCTCCATTGTGGAGGCAAATGAATAAAATCATCCCTGTTTCGTTGCTCATATCGACATGGTTAGGAAAGGATGCACTTTCCGTATCAGACTCCTGATGAATGTGAAAAATTTATTTAATTTGTATATTAGTTTTTCTCAAGAAATTTAGAATCTGAATTTAGCTGTTACTATTTCTCCATTAATAACCATGCATTTAACTGGAAATATGATTAAATTTACCCCTTCGTGGCTGAACGCGTGCGCGGAAATGCACCAGAGGGCGGAGCGCGTCTGGCCAATCGCAGGGAAATTGCAGAGATTTCATCCCTTGCTGAAGAATCTCGATGGAGGACCGCGGAGGGTGAGACAAGACAGCATGTGGTGAATAATCTAACACAGTTGATTTGATAAATGAAATCCACGCGAAACAATAGAGCTCCATTTCTCCTCCTTTGCGCCCCATTCCTCGCCAGATGATTCCTTTGCTTCCATTTCCCTCTGACTCTGGGGAATAAACGACCAAAATGCTTTACTGCGTCTTCGGAATATTGTTAAACTATCTAATCAATAACATTAAGCGAGACATTACCAGAAAATCATTTGAATACTCATAATCAATTTTACGAAATATCTAATATCTAAGTTTTAAGTTGAAAAATAAAAGTATTCAAAGTTATATGGTTAAACGAATTTTTTTTGTTAACAACTCTGTTAGTAATATAATTTTAAGCACCAAAATGTCCGCATGTGACTTTTCAAAGCATTCACTTACACTTATTTCAAGAAACAAACACTAGTTTTAAATTTATTAATTGCTATTTTTGATTGATTTTATGTGTAAGTTTTTAGTTACCCGTGTAATTTTCCGATAAAACGCTGCTATGGGGTAATATTAATTAATTAAAAAATGAGAGGAAAATAATTACCGCCTCTCCAACCTTCATTTAGCATTCTGTTTGCAAATACATATTCCACCCTCTTCTCTAGAGCTCTCTTTTCACTCTTCCTGTGGAGCTTTTTCCCCGTTTTTTTGTCTTTTTGTTTTAATTCTCTGCAGCATCAGAGTGAATTGTATAAGCGAGGAATGTAATGTTGACAACAATATGAAAAAGTGAATTCTCTCCTTGCATTCTCTGATCATCAGCATGATGATATTTTCCCTTTGTGATTGTCAATCCATCAAAAAATTTTCATTTACGCGCGCGTTCACCACTTTTTCTCTTTTCCGTCAACATCAAAAGAAGAAGCGCACTGAAAGGCCCAAAATTGTGCATTAGTTTAAACATCATATGCATGTCATTTCCACCGATTCAAAGGCATCGCGTAAATTGTCTCCCAACGTCAACAGCACCTTGGGGCGAAATCGCAGTTCTTGTACATCTTTATACCATTTATACAAATAACAAATGACAAAGAAAAGACTCTTTCACCGAGTGGAGATAGAAAGTCTCAACACAAAGGGAAATCAAGAAATAATTTCACATCTTCATTTTGAAAATCAATTCACGGAATTCACGTTATTTTTACTCTTTATCATCTTGTCTGACTTCCACGTGAAAAGGAAAATGAGATTTCCCAACAGGAGATGTTGCAGAAGAATGACTGGCAACAATGAAAATTCACCACGAAATTATTATGGGTGGACTGGGTGGAAATTCACGGCAAAATTGTATTTCTCACAGTAAATGGTCCCGAAATGTTGACTCTATGACAGATTTTACTCAATTCAATGGAAATTAAATGATTAAAAAATAGCAAACCGAAAATCCTTAGGAGACTTTAGAGATTTCTGAGACTTGAGTCTTTGAGATTTGCAGTTTGAAGATCACAAAAAATAAATTAAAATTATTTTCCCAACATCGTTTTACGATTTTTTGGCGTAGACTCAGAAAATCACGGACCAAAAGTGAATAATAATATATAATCGTTTTTATAATAATGATTATTTATTACTATTATTCAGTATATTATTCCAGTGGTCGTAATCTTGCGCGCTGGCACTGCGATTTTCATGAATTTGTGTATGGAAGATAATGAAAATTGTTTGCAATAAACAGTTGAACAACATCTGATTGGATAACTTTGCCACAATAGCAAGGCAAGTCGTCATTGCGATGAAAAGTTGAAGGCGCATGAAAGCTCCTCTGTAAATTTTAATATCTTCCCTCTCTCATCACATGTGTGTGGGTGTGTAATTCTTTTCTCTCAAAAATAATATGTTTGCCTCCATATGCGATTCTTTCACTTGCCATTCAACGCATCGATTTGATAATGAGCAAGCCGTGCTCGAGAATTTCCCGCCCTGTCCATTAATTCAATCTTTTCAGCGCGCTTCCTCAGGAACAATTGGCGCCTTTGTTCGGGCACCGACATTGGCAAATTGATTAAAAAATCACCGCTGATCGGTTTTCCTTGCATGCGCCCACAATTACTTCAGTCGATGGGTGGGATGAAGCATCCGCACGTCCTTCCAGCCGCGACAGGGCCTCATTTGAGTCTCATCCACGGAGATGAATTCAATCTGCGGCGAACAGAGTGGAAGAGAAGCTGGATCGAGATGTACTGACATGGGAAAAATCATTTTCTACCCTCTTCCACTCTGCTGGTGGCAATCATTTAGCATCCCTGCGAGAAAGCGGCGTCAGTTGACGAGGGTGTGTCGTCAGTTTTGCACCCAATGTGAATCCAATTCATTATGATTCCACACAGTGAAAAACATTGCATGCACAATGGAAAAAATAGCGCCTTTTCTGATGCACAGCGAATGCGAATATTAATTAATTTGCTAGACTTGGTGAAACTTCTACAGAAATCATAACTTTGAATGTACAAACTGACGACGAATATCCTCAGCATAATCATTTCGAAGCTCTTTGCGCGTTATGAGGAAAAATTTGCGCTCTAGTGCGTTTTTCGCGGTCCAAAATTTGCACAATGCACATGAAGAATGGGGGAAAAGTGCATTTTTCATTCTCTCAAATGACATTGGATTTTCCCACATTTGCCTTCCTTTACTTGCAACTTTTCTCTGCCTCACCGTTGGCGTGAATTTCTCCTTTTATTCTCATCACTCGCGAGGAGTGTGCTTGTTAACACCGCGAATGGGGTGAAAGAACTAGAATTTGCTTACTTACGATGGCGGGAGAAGTGACATGTTAAGATCGCATCATTTTAATAGATAAGAAAAGTCCTCGTAAAGTTGAAACTTCTTCAAAACATTGCTCTTTTATTGAGCATGGCGAACAGAACATTCACTTGACCCTCTTATCGTGATAGGAGCTTGGGAGTTCAAATGAATTAAACTTTGGATCTACAGATGTGAAATTAAATTGTCGGATTATATTCTCCATACTGCACCGGAATTGTTAATAAATTTAAGCGAATGATGATGTGAAAAATCCATGCCCAATTTCATGAGAGGAGAAGCATTGCGAGGGCTCAAATAGAGAGTGTACTTGAAAGAGATCAAAGATTTGCCATTGAATGGAGAGAATTCAGCGTGGTGTATATAAAATCAAATTGAATCCATCAAATCAAATGATGCAATGAGTAATTTGTAGATTTTTGATTCCAACCCATTCCATTACCATTTTCCCCAATTCACATTCACTGAATATAATGCAGTGGACTCTGTGAAATTACCCCGATTCAATTTTCCTCTCTCACCCATCCGTACAGTCCCGAAAGAGGTGAAAATGCGATGATGCACTGCCAAAAAGGGCTCTTTTGCCATGCAGAATTTCTGTGAAATACGATTTTCGCGTCAGTTCCAAATAATTAGGTTCGCCCCATAAACTCCTCTTTTGCAGCGTCACCCTTAATTACTTCATTTAAATAATTAAAATATGTACATTTAGTCTGTGCAAAGCTTTTCATTTGGTCAGCATGAATTTTACACACACATTTGCTTTTCATTCAATTTGGCCATCACAGACTTGTTTCAGTCCCTCTTCAGTGACCACCCTCACCGGACGGGGACACAACTTTGGGACGCTCTGCGTCCAGAGAGTGCGGTCAGTACAGAATGGTTCTGAATAATGCGAGACGAGGGCCAAAGAGGCTCCATAAGGTCTAATACATTAAGTGCATACATCGCAAATTAACCCACTTTTGTGAAGCTGTGATTTGAGGCCGAATTGAACATAGAATTTCGAAACTTTTCAATAACAAATATATCACTCTAATTCATAAGATAGACTGATTCGGCTCCCAGTTCTTTGCCAAAGTTAGCTGGATGTTACACAAAAGCACCCGAGACAGGGTTAATGCTGATCCAGTTGTCTTTTGTAATTCGATAAAAGGACTCCATTGCAGCTCTAAACCTCCTTTCTCTGTTCCTTTTCCTCGTCAGCCGGCTGTATTTTAATTTGCCGAAGGACTTTCGTCCATATCCGGAGAAATAGCAAAAAGGGAGCGGAATTAAACAATACGGAATTATTGAAATAACTTTCTATAAGTCATATTTTTAATATTTTGCTGTTTTTTCTTGCATCACCTAGTCTACTCACGATGAGTGAGCACGACAAAAGGAGAGTGAGATTGTATAGAAAAATTCATCCTCAAACCCTCGGCCTTTTCCGCCCCCGCTTTTCATCGCGCCTACGGTTCATTGTGATGAATGGACAAATGAATTTTTATTTTCCGTTGATGAAAATTCACTCACACTCGTGTGTGTGTGTGTGTGTTACGGGGTATAAATGAAAATTGGGTTTTCTCTGTGCTCACAGGAATCATGAGATCCATTGTTTAGTGCAAAATACGTATTCTCTGCAGTGCATCGTGAAACAATGAAATGCAAAAGGACACTGATAAGCAATCATTTTACTCCGTTTATACAATACGCGTTAATGAGGATGGAGAAGAAGACTGAATTATTCGTATACTAAGAGATCTTACATATTATATAGCGATATTATGAGAAATCACACACTAGAATTATCTGTTATATATTTAAATTTTGGTGGGAGTTCTCTTCTTCCTCTTTGACGATCACAGCGCTCCATGCTGCGCACTGCAGAAACAGTTGCAGAGTCATCGATTGTCAAGCGGAAAATGTGAATATAGTGTTTTTCCTGCGAAATAGGTGGTTTTTCCGTGTAAAGATGTCATATCCTCTGTCTGTGAACATTTCTGTGGAGGCTCCAATTGAGAATCAGATTCAGGAGATTCAGTATGACGGCACAGAGCTCTATCAACCGTGAGTGTTCTCCCTAACCTCACTCTTCTATGTTTGTTTTGTCAAAGATTGATGAATTTCGGTTTTTTTTCTCTCAGGCCGCTTACTTTATCTGAAAATCTGTCTAAATGCGCCGCCCGCATTGACTTCACCAAGTCCAGTAATGAGCCCGAAGTTGTGGTGAAGAAGGAAGAGACAGAAAAGAAGGAGGACGATCCGAAGGATCCGCAGTTTCAGTCCAGTCTCTGGCCGTGGGATTCCGTGAGAAATAAGCTCAGGGATGCTTACACTGAGGTGTGCGTCTTGTCGGATGTGCTGGCAATTGCCAAGGAGAAACGCTACATGGTTCTGGACCCGGTGCCTCAAGAATCCGTTGAGACAAAGCCCATTGTTCAGGTTTATGCTAGGAAGAAGGCTCTCGCGAATGCGGCAAACATCCTCTTGAGCGGGGCAGACAGGCTGAGGAACACTCTGAGCGAACAGAGAAACAACAGAGACAAGAGCGACTTTCATATCGAATTGCTGCGTCTTCGGCAAAACTGGAGGCTGAAGAAAGTGTCGAATTCTATAATTGGGGACCTGAGTTATCGCACAGCGGGGTCGAAGTTCATGCATTCAGGGATGTTCGAAGTGACCAAGGCCGAGGAGGATCCCAATGGGGGCAATTCCCCGCCAGGGAGTCCAGCTGCGACGCCCTCGAATGCCTTGCCGAGTCCCAAGAAGTCAGCTCTGCGCGTGAACGTGCCGTCGGAGTTGCAGGGCGTGGCGTACATCAAGGTGATCACGCAGAAGGACCAGGAGGACCTTTGCACAGCCACTGTGAATCTCCTGGGCCACGGACAAAATATCACGCAACAAGTTGGTATTTGGCAGAAGACGCTGGAGTTCGCACAGAACGTCCTCTTCTGCAAGGAGTTGTTCAATCAACTGGCCAAGGAAGCTGTGCAGCTGCAGGCGTCGATCCCTCACGTGGTCGTGGGCAATCAAATTCGTGCCACTCTTCTGCCCGGAATTCAGCTCATCATCAGCCTGTGTCACTCCACATCATTCGACGCCTCCAATTCGGGGCCCATCAACGATCACGATCACGTGCTAGAGCACTCGCTGCACCAACTCCTGCGCGAGGTGCACTACAAGAATACTCACCATCCCTTCCCGCATCCCGCCAGCGGCCCTCTGGGGCCCAGCAAGAAGCGCATGCTCGCTGGACCGACGGCAGCCGATCGCTATGAACTGCTGGAGATGACAAAGAGTCAGACATTGCTCGAGCAAATCATCGCCCAAGCGCAGCACATCTTCATGCGCAAGAGGACGCAGTATGTACTGGACACACTGGCCAGGGATGTGAAGGATCCACAGATCATTTCCCACTGGAACGCTATGAACAGTCCCACGATGTCCTGCGTGAAGATCAAGATCATCACTCATGGGTGAGTTGGCTGGGGATTTGCCACCTTAAGACTTACTGATCGCCTTTTATCCCTCATTTTGCAGCTATGACACAGTTTATCGGACCTCACTGCTGATCCACGTGAAGGAGCGCTCTCTGAAGTGCATCTGCCGCGACGGGCGAGTCATGCATATGTCATATGAGCCTCAGGAGTTAAGAGATCTCATCCTGTGTCAGATCAACCGTCATCAGATGTCGGGCTTACTAAATGTGGCGCGCTGCATGGCTTGGCAGACGCTCTCCAACAGCAACCATCTCGGCATCGGATCCGTGGAACCTCTGGGCAACGCCAGCTCTTGTCTCCTGGCCTCGCCCAACGGCGATCGCTTGATCGCCGTGCAGATCCGCTGCGATCCGCAGATCGACGTGAAGGTGTACATCGCGCAGACGCCGCGCAAGGACTTCTTTCCGGGGCCGCTGGTGCAGGGCAAGTACTGGGAGCACTTGGGCGGGCACTTCAAGGAGGTGAGATTCGACAAGCTCGAGGGAAAGAACTTCCTGAACAAGATGGAGTTTCTCATGGCGAGCATGTCCAGTTCTTAAGTCTTCTATCACTATTTTATTCTCAATAAACTTTGCAATAACTTAGTGGGATGCTTAATCTACTGAACATTTGTACAGCTCTCGAGCTCGCTCTGGAGCTTCTGCTGAATGCTGGGCGGCAGGAGCTGTGGATCCACTGGAATGCTGAGGAGCGACTCCTCCAGCTCTCGATCCTTGGCCAATTGCTCGAGTTTCTTCTTGGACAAAATTGTGCCCGGTGGTGGGACTTGCTGGTCCGGATGGTCTCGCTTCACGTGGCCGCGCACGCTGCGGATGGAGTAGAAGAGATTGCTGCAATATGGACAGGTAAAGCTCTTCTCGCCCGTGTGGCCGCGCATGTGGCGCACCAAATGGTTGCGCAACTTGAAGGATTTGGAGCATGTGGCACACATGTAGCGACGCTCGTCTGAGTGGTATGCCTCGTGCAACTTGCGCCGCGAATCCAGGGCGAAGGCCTTGTTGCAGACGCCGCAGTGGAAGAGCTTCTCGAAGCTGTGGTGCACCTTGATGTGGTTGGTGTAGTTGTTGCGGTGGTAGAAGTCCTTCCGGCAGTGGTGGCAGCTGAATAGAGCCTTCTTCAGGTGGTACTTGTAGATGTGCGCCGTGCGCTCCGAGTGACCCTTGAAACGCATCTCGCAGTGTGGACACTTTACTTTCAGTCTCTTCATGCCGAGATGGACGCTCTCAAAGTGGGATTTCAGGCTAGCCGCTGAGCAGTACACTTTGCTGCACTCCGCGCAGGCGAAGCTCCTCTTCTCTGCCTCGGAGCGCGGCTCGTGCGTCCGGAGGTGCATCTTGAGGTTCAGCTGCTTCACCATCTTCCCGCACACGACGCAAAGTGTGCTTTCGCCCTTCACGTGAGCCGAGAGCTTGTGCCCATTCAGATCCGCCGGTGTGTGATACTCCTTGGAACATTGGTCACACTTGAAGGCCTTTTCGGTGCTTCTGTGGCGCATTTCGTGCGTGGCAAAGTGTTTCCCGCTGATCATCTTGTCGCACTGCACACAATGCCGCGTGCACTCATGCCCAGTCTTCTCAGTCCTGCTCTTGAACGTCTTTCCGCAGCGCTTGCACGGGATAATCTCAGGTTTCAGCTTGTGGGCATAAGATCGATGGGCATTCATTGAGGATCTATTGGGATATCGTCGACCACAAACTTCACACGACCACGGATTCTTCATATCCTCAGCCGCTACTCGACGACGTCTTGGGGCCTCCACGAAATCATTATCACTGATGTTTGACTCTAGCTCTTCCTTGACTTCCACAAACACCGGTTTGTCCACTTCTTCTTCCATAGCGGTGAGTTTCTCCTCGGCCTCGAGGCACTTCCTCCGGAACTGATACGCGATGATCATCTCATTCTCACACTGCTTGCAGATGCAATTGGGATGACTCTGGAAGTCTCTTAGACTCCTGCCTATGCACTCTGAATAGATTTTATCATAAGAAAGAGCCTCGAAGACTGTTTCAGCGATGCCCAGAAGTCGCTTCTTGGGATTCAAACAGATCCGACAAATTGACCTCGAATTCCCATCCATGACCTATATTTGATATGTAGGAACGTCAGCTAGTGGTAAAAGGCATTTATAGGTGAAAATACTCACTGGCCAGGCCAGAAATTGAAGGGAAAATTGAGTGCAAAAACTCACAACAAAAATGACAATATTTTTCTTTTGTCTGAAGATTGTCTCTTTAGCGCCCGCAGCGCCTCTGTAGAATAAAAATATGGGCGGGAATTTCAATTTATTAACCCATTGTGTCCAATATGCCACGAAATCCCATGAAAAGCAGCGAGTAAAATTCATGCTGTTATTTTAGCTCAATTTAATAAACATAGTTATTCAATATTTTATACCATAGAAGCAAATTTATTTCATTTCCTTGTTTTTTTTGTATATATATTTCAAATTTATTTCTTGTAAACTGTTTCAAATGTTACACATTTCATAAGAGATCGTACTGCTTTTTTGCTCCTTTTCACCATCCGACATACGATTTCCTTATGTCTCACACCTTCCTTGCCTATCTCTTGAAACGGCTTACCAGTAGATATATTTGTGTTTACTTAAATATATATCCTCTATATGTTATTTATCAATTACTATTCCATATTCACTTTATCCATAGTCTGCTAGAAACACAAAAATTCTCTCCATTCTTTGCCCCGTTCTTGCGTTCTGGTTTTGCTCCAAGAAAGAATTGATTTAATTACAAAGTACATTTATCTACGTTTTCTCCTTTTCCTCAAGTTCTGCATAATGTTTTTTTCTGTCTCTTTTGCCTTCCAGAAATGAATGCTTCTCCTTTATTTTCTTTTTCTTTTACTACTTTTGAAACTATGTTTTTATTCACTTTTAACTCTTTGTTTTCTCCTCAGTTGTGTGAAATATGAAAATTTTCCCATCGACGTCTATTTAATCTTATTCTCCTAAATTTTTCTTCATCCCTTAATTGCTAATATAAACAAACGAAACATTATTATATTACCTATCAAAAAGAGAAACTAATTAAGTTACACATCAATATTATTCTGCATTGAATTTTCGCGATACTCCTTTTCATCCTTTAGATCATCTCTCAAACAACAACTCAAAAAGGAAGCTTTCGGGTTCTTTTTCGTCTTCTGCACTTTCCTAGTCAAAGTAATTTATAATAAAATGTTTATGTGCGCGTGTGTAAATCAAAGAGAAACAAGAATCACGAATTTACACAGAAATAAAAACTAAATATCGCATAAAAAACTAGAACGAGAAAACAATCTCCCGAAAGAGAACTCATAATTAAATTTGAGAAGTGTGAAGCATTGGAAGAAATAACAGCAAAGAATAGTCCTTAAAAGTATTTAGCAAAGAGAGGAGACAAATTAATTGGAAAGAGTTGGAAGTAAAAATATTATTGCACGCTACTTCCTCACCTAAAAAATGTGTTTGTTCCCCAGTTTTATTTTATTGTGAAATCAAGATTTCTTTTTCCTTTTCCTTTCCACATGTACAATTTTAATCCTTCGCTATTTCTTCAAAATTGAATTCAATTGACGAATCGCATTTCTGGGTTTATTTATCGCATAAACTCTCTTCTTCTTCCTCAATTTCTCTCTTTTTCCACATCATCATTATTTTTTTAAAAATGTTTTTACCCTCTAAATAGACACTTGAATATAAATTTGAACTTTTATGTTATCACGGGGTATAAAAAACTTCAAATTACTTGCAAATATTCACGTCATTTCATGATTATTTTACTTTTACCACTACATTTCTTTTTTCTTATCGCTCTTTTAGTCAATCTTTCGCATAATGAGACAACGTCACGTGTTCAGTTGAGTGGAAAACAGCTAGATTGTATGGTAAAACTTGTCGTTTAGAGATTACACTAGCAAATATATTAATTGTGCACTTACAACGTGAGAAAATGCACAAAATATGCTCAGAAACTATACAACAAGTTCTCAATCTTCTTTTCCACTCAATGTGCTTCATTTCTGTTTTGCTCACATGCCAAATCGGGGATCGTATATTTTTTGAAAAATTACAGGAGAAGAGAAGAAAGGGAATAATCTACGATATTCTTTAAATGTTTACTAGAATTCAAACAGGCTCTTTAGTTTTCTTTTCTCCCCACATTTTTCTTTTCCTTTCTCGCATTCCATTCAATATCTCTCACCCGTTGTTTTGTCGAAGGAGAAGAAAAACAAGGGTGAAAACAATTTACAAAGTCAATTAAATCTGTAACGAAATTTTAAATGTTTCCATACTCCAATTCTCATTCATATATCAATAATAATTTTGCTCAGTTGTAAATAGAAAAAATCTACAGAATGTCCTCCAGCGAAGAGCGACTGTTCCTGATCAGCACTGGTAAATCAATCAAACCACAGCCACTCTTCTGCCGTTGATACGCTTCTCGTGGAAGAAATAAAAATCCTTGGCGCGCGATAGTTTTCCGGGAGGGAATCGATAGAAGGGTGTGCTTAACATACGTGCTTTATGCCGCCGTGTCGACTTCCTCAACAATGTGACTCTGCGGCACGTCTGCGGTTGCTGTGGAGCTCGTCGAGGCGGTTGTGGGCGTTGTCGCATTGCCCCCCGGCGCTCCAGCACTGCCTGGGTTCGCCGTGGTCGTGGTGCTGGCCAACTGAGCCAAGGCTGTGGCTGACGTCGTCACGGAGGCGCCCTGAATGGTGGCGCTGTAGGGCGCGCTCTTGAGCTTCCGCGCCTCGCGGCGCTCCTTCTTCTGCTGCATCACCAACTTCAGTTGATCCAGCTTCACCTTCGTCTTGTTATTCTCCAGCTCCACACTGCTGCACTTGCTGCAAATAGGCTGCGAGCTCTGGCAGCAGCACTTGAGCGGCACCGCTTTCACGCACTCCACCTCCATCGCCTCCTCGCGTCGCACAGCTGCTGTGTCGTCTGTCGCCCTGGCCACTCCACACGCCCAGCTCTCGCGGGAGTGCTTGCAGGAGCCCGACGGCGACGCCGGAGCGGAAGCAGAAGCGGTAATGGTGGAGGTGCTGTGGCCACTGCACTCACCGTAGGGACAATTGCGCGACGTCTTCGAACACTTTGAACACATTTCCGACTGCTGATGATGATGCCGGCGCGACGACTGTAAGACAGACACAACATTAGATGTAACTTTTGATAAACTTCTGATGTTCAGGAGAATTTTTTCCAAAAACCCCAATTTTGCTTAATTGAAGGTTATGTTTATTTCGTCGCAAAACTCACCTGTCTCGATGACGTCCTGGAACTTGAACTCCCGGCCTCGACGCTAATGCTGGTGCCGCGACGATACTGTGGCGTGGCGCTGAGTAGATCATTGAGGATGTGGATTATTGTCGAGATGTCTCTCTTTGGGCGTCCATAGCGATCCTGGAGCGCCGGATTGAGTGTCCCTGAGAAGGTGCCGGAGTAGATGCCCTTGCCGTGGTGCTTCATCGACTCAATCACTGCGCCCGTGCCAATCTTCTTGCTACTGTTCTCCGTGAGGTCCACTTTACTAGTGAACACTTCCTTGGACAACTTCTTCAGCGTCTGCGTGAGATTACGCGACGCCTCGGCCAGCGCGCGAGCGTCAATGGTGGTCGTTCCAGTACTCGGAACTTGGTCCTCACTAGTCGCCTCCCTCACCGGCGTGGCGGCGCGCTCCTCCTCGACTGGCGCCTGCGGTGCGCTCGTCTCCGTGGAGATCTTGATTGTATCCAGCGATCTGGCGTTCCAATTCTTATTTTTGATCTTCGTGATGGGATTGTTGGCCGTCTTGTGCATCCAGCTATTGCGCCACGGCTTTGTCTGCGTGGTGGCGTTCGTGCTGGTGCTGGGCTCCGCGTGGCACTCGTCGAAATCCTCCGGCGGCACCGGCGCCGATGGCCGCTCCTCCTCATCCCTCTGCTGGCAGTTAACATCACATCCAGCATTGCTATTGCTATTGCTGTCGAGCCTCTTGCAGAGACAGCTGGTGAGCTTGGCGGAAATGGGATCCGGATAGGATGACGTGGACGGCTGGGGCTCCATGTCACCCATGAGCGGTGGCGTGGGACACGCGTGCTCTGCCGGCACGCCGTAATTTGGTATCGGAACGCTAATGATGGGACTGGACACCAGATTCGACAGCGACTTTATCGGCGACTGATCCAATTCAATTGCATTATTCTCGTCATCCGTGGTCGCGGCCGCCGCCCTGTCCTGGATATTCGTCAGCAAATCGTCCAATTCTTGCTTCATCAATTCCGCCAATTCCGAGTGTGCCGGATCGTCAGTTGTCACATTGAATGTTGGCTCCTGCTCCACACTTGGGCCCGCTTCCGCTGGTGGCGATGTCTCAGCCTGCACACGACGCTTGCTCTGCTTCTGACACACATGATGATGATGATGATGTCGCGACTTGTGCGTATTCCTCGATCTCGAACCGCCGCCAGATTGCGATGACGGCGGATTCACTGTGCTCAGTTGCAGCTGAATTATCATCATGTGGTCTCCCAAACGCATGTTCAGATTCAATGGTGACTTCCCACTGAGGAAATCATTCACTTGCGAGTCATTGAGTGACTCCAGAGCCTGCATCACTGTGCTCTCCGGACGCTGCGCCTGCAAGACAAGCAGAAGAGACAGAATATTAGACGGATTGCGGAACACAGCCTTTCATGGTCGGCTCTTCTCTGTCCAATAACAAAAGCACTCTACCAAATCATCGTGATTGTGTGACCCTCAGCATGAAAGAGTGCCCCTCTCACGCGCAAAATCATCAAAGGCAAACGCGTAAATGGACAAAAGACTCGGCGCTTCAATCATTTTGCCAATCGACAAGATTTAGAGAGGCAAAGCAATTGCAAAAAATCATTTCAAGCCCAAACTTAACTCTCTAATCTGTTCACAGCATAAGTGATAGCGAAGCTCCAGGCACACAAGAGCACACTGAATAGTCAGCGTACAAACAGCAGAACAATATCTCAAGAGTATCTCTTTCAAATATTTAATCATTGCACAAAAATCTCGAGAGGTTGACACTCTCATGTGTGTCTTCCCCGTCAACATTTTCCACCCAGTCAACAGCACGAATTGCACGAGGAGCAGAAGTGTGTGCAGTGATAAAAGAGGGTCACGATATCAGTTAGGCATCTTCATCTCAGGAATGCTAGGGTGACTCAGTGTGAAAATTGATTAGATACCTTTAGACAAATTGCTAATTGTCAGTCACATTTTGCCAGTGGAAAACTCAAGTTGCTCGAGAGAGAACTTTTTATGCTTTCACCAGGACTGAAATTTCCCCAAAAGCCAAGAGTACGAAAGTGTGTGTGTGTGTGAGAGAGAGAGAGAAAGGCAGTGGCGTACGCAATTTAAGGCAGTCAAAGCAGAAGCGCTCTATAAGTAGTTTCACACATTTTCCACTTCATTTTCATTCAAGCTTTCTTCTATATTTCATAAATACTCTAAATTTTCATGAAAATGGAGAATCAGTCAATTACAAATTTATTTTTCCTGTACAAAAAACAGGCTTACAAAAGTCTTAAACTATAATAATATATTTAGAGATTTTTGAATCGCTTATAGAACATAAACGCATAGCTTTAGACCCTTATTTAATGCCACAATCTGAGATTTCGTTTGTTAAATCTCTTGGCAAATTTATTAGTGATTTTGGGCGTGATAACGAGATTGCTCTGCCAGCAAAATGTAATCAGCTTCATTACCATTATCACTTTTTGGAGTTGTTTGTGTCAAAGATAGTTGCTAAGGTGATCAGAAAAGTTACACCCTGCAGATCTCTCTCAATCCCAAGTCAAATCTACTCTTCAGATTTTTCACATTTCTCATATAGAAGATCTGTAGCGTTTATTGCCTGTCCCTTTGGCGCTCCCGAAAACCGCCGGGGGCGCCAAAAAACCCACTGTACGCCACTGAAAGAAAGAGAGGGAGAGAGAGAGAGAGTGAGAGAGAGAATGAAGAAAGACACACACTCTCTGAAAATGCTCAAGCAATCCCGACATTGTGCAAGTAAAATTGACTCACACTCGAATCAGAATCACTTTCTCTCTGATTCTCTCAACTGAAAGCTCTCCTTTGTACCACCGAATTAGGCAATGAATACACCTCAGCCGCCACTCAATGTACCCACCAACCGACGAAACTCTCTTAAAACATGAAGCGCCAAAGACTCAGAGGCTCATCAATCCATTGTATCCGAAACGTCTCAACACTTTTCCAGAGCTTCTCTCTTTGCTGCTTCAATTGCTGTAATTCTTCTTGGGCATTGATTGTTGGGAGAATGTTTTTAAATATAGGACGCACACAGAGTGTAATACACAACAATATAAAGCGCACAACACCAACATTTTGTCGGGCTTCTCACGGGTTTGAGAGTAAAATTCAATAAATACAGGGTGGACCACTCCATACTATCTGAGAATCACATTAAATTCCACCTCAATTGAGTGGAAGCAAATGAAACATGATGGAAAATATATCTTACGGTCATATTCTTACATAAAATGCTCCAATGGACAGAGGAACCTTATCAGCTGTATATTTCCAACATTTTTCCCACCCTCTCAGCATCACTCCTCATATCATCATGGCAAGCAGCGACTCGAGAGGAGAGACACAGACAGAGAGCAGTAAAGGAGCGAAAATTGATCGATTGCCAGGACATGTACTCATCAGACGGCTTCAGAAGATATCAGAAAAGCCACCAACTAATATTTCATCATAATTCTCAACATTTTATCTGATGACTTAGCACTGTTAATTCTCCCACCCCCTCAGAGTTTCACCTCAATTCCCAAACCCATCCTCAGTGTACATAATAAATCGTAACAGTTGAAATTATAAACTCTCCCGGAGTCGAGTTACACACATTTATATTGTCTCTCCACTGGCAATTCCTCTTCGGACATTATTAACTTGCGTGAATAATTCATGGCTCTAACTGTTCCCCACTGTCTTGCTGTTGCTGCTGTTAAATGTGCGCTTTTAACACTCACACACTGTTTCACGTCCGTAAGTCATCCCACTGCTGGCTACAGCCAAAATATTCCCCGACATACACTCGTGCTCAAAAGTGTCTGGCATTGCAAGAATATCCAAAATGCTGATACTATTTTAGCGTTGTTTTACACTAGATAGAGCAGAAGTGTGTGGGAAAAAGAATTCAACAGCTTGTAACAGGAGAAAGAGCGGTATTCAGTATGAACATGCGTAGAGAGAAACACACTCTCGAGGCGATTTCTGACAAGTTCAAGGAAGCTAGTAAATCAGTATGTCTTACTAACAACATCCCAGACTCTATTAACCCTCAAGGTAAAATAGTTCATCAATAGCTAAAGAGCCAGGTAAATTCGCCACATTAATTCTAGGGAAACTAGAAACTAGAGAAAAATCTCCAAAGAGAAAATGTGTGTGCCACAGTCTGATGATTTTTTAAATTTGTGTCTAAAATTGATTCCAGTGAAACAAATCAGACACTTTTGCATCTCACTGTTCGCGGAATTTTCGTGAACGAAGAAGTCACCGCGAAAGAGGTGCAAAAGGAAGTATTGTTCAGTTAGCAACACACGCGTTTCGTACCAATATACTATATTTCCTTTCCTACAAAATACACTCTTCTCTTTAGTCTCTGTATGCGAGGATTTGAATTGCCAATTGCCGCGATGTGTGTCCCAAAAAAGCGCACATTGGTGGAGAAGAGGGAACAACTGGCAAAGACGGCAAAGACAATGTGTATAGTTTACTTGCGGGAGAGAAAGACACGAGAGAAAAACATACCAGTAAAGATACATATTGCTCCAATGAATATGAGAATTAGCCAAAACACTGAATAATTCGCATCTCTTATTCACACTCCGCCATTCTCTCTATATCTCCATTTCTGTGCGCCTCTTCCCGCTATTGAGGAATTATACATACATTGATTGCCCAAGTGACTCCATTTCCCCAGATTCCCGTTCGTAATTGCACTACATGTCACACTTTTATGCATTCTTCCCTCCTGCCTCTCGATCCCAGCCCACAAACGCACTGTTATGCGTGATCTCGAGAAGAGAGAGAGAGGGAGAGAGAGAATGATGAAACAATTGATAATTTTCCATCGTTTACCGCACATGGAAAATTCCATGGCAATTCTAGACATTTGTGACTTATCTGCAAACCGTTTTAAAGGTTTCAAAGCATGAAGATTTTTGATACGTTTTTTTTCTTACTGTGATTCCTGTAATTTACTGAAAAAAAAAGATTTATGTTGTGCAATTCAAAACTGTAGGCCTTTTAGAGGATCATTTTACTTTCTCTTAAACGGATTTTATTATCTCTACTCTTGACTTTATTGAGTTTATTCATCAAATTTCGACACTTTTCATTCAATCGTCCAAGATAAGATCATTTTGAGGCGATTTTTGCTCGTTATTAACTCTTACTGGCAAGTAAAACATGTCACATTCACGCGATTTATTTTACTACATTATTTGCAGATTCAAATCTGTATAAATATCCGAATGGGTGTAAAAATAGACAATAAAGAAGACAAGAGGGAAGACAAAGTGAAATTGTAAAAAAATGTTACCTTGATATTTGAACTACAGCGAGAACTCTGCACACCTATTACTCTACACCGCGTGTATAATTTTTTTGAGGAATTAACTGCAAACTTCCGAAAAATTTCCGCAAGTTCCCCATGATTGAGCATTTAGTGCAGTGATTTTCCGCCACACCGTTTTCCGCGCAAACAAGGCAGCGCAAATTTAACTATATGAAAATTCTGCTCGTAAAACTTTTTGGTCTATTAGAAGCTCCGCCACCTCTGAGCCTTTGACTCACACATCAGGTCACACTTTTGCTCCCCATTTGTCATCTTTTCTCTGGTCGTCACCAGAGTTTGTGCTCTGGTTAACGGACAGTCGGTAAGAATGAAGTCGCTCTCAAATGACGAGGATGACGCTGAGAAGATGGATATCAAAAGGCAACCTCTGCCCATTAGCCACAAAACGGTATCTCCCCGCATTGGACTCTCTTGCAATTTCGTCTTGTGGTCAGTCAGTCGTGTCGCTTCCTCCTCCCAGTCTAACTACAACATCGTCACGTCCATCACTCGCTATCGTATCTGTGATTTGGACATTTCTGACTCCTCGAATTCATAAAATAACAATAAAGTTCAGTTCTTATCCGTAGACTATGATAATTTACTCAGCGAATGAAAGTTTACAATTCACTGAAACTTTGTAAACTATTCTGATAATTCGAAATAACTCAGATACGACAGCTTATGATGCAGCTAACGCTATGCTCCCGATGACCATAGCAAGAGAGGGTGCCGAGTTTACTCACCAGCAATCCCGTTTCCACATTTGGCGTCAGAATTATTCTGGATCCATCCACAATGCCATTCTCTTTCAATGTTCCCTCTTGCAGTTCCCTGAAAAATCAACAGTGAAGAACAAGAATTAATTCACGGACAATATTATCATGAAACTATATTTTTATACGGAACAATAAGAGAGGAAATTTAGAAAGCGAAATTAGTTCAAATCCAGCGGAAATGAAAGGGAAATTTAATTTCTTCATTATTCAGTCGCCAACCAGTGAATTTTCTATATATTCCACCCAAATAATGCTCAACTCACACACACGCGCTCTTTCAACTCTCTTTCAGTCTGCAAAGCAGCGAAATTTTGCAAATTGTCATCTCTCACACTCTCACCTATTGTGTCTCTCCCTCGCGCTCAACATAGATAGACATTTACGTTTGATAGGCAGTGTCTGAGCAACATTGAAAGTCGAAAAATTTTGGCAGTCTGCAATTTTTTGTGCGTGCTCCGGAGAGACTGAAAAACTCTTTTTTTTTTACATAATGATCAACGCGCGCCGCACAAAATCACTTTCACTGAGAGACGCCGAAATTGGTGAGTGTTGTACTCAGAAAAAAAACCACAAGAAGCATTTTATTCAGCACACACTATCGCAATGCGCTGCCACAGCTCACACTTGCGGGCTCATTTTCCACCCCAAGACTCTACTTATCGCTGGCCAATGCCTAAATTTATACATCTGCATAGGTTTTTATTATGATAATTACTGAAAAAAGTCAAATAAACACGGTCGCGAGTATCAATCTTTGCCATATGTTTACAATTCACAGCAACCTTGTGAAATATTCCAAATCTCTCTCAGCAATTTCTCATACAGTCAACGAGAAGACTTCTCAACTCTGCACTTGTAAACATAGGAAGAGGAATTGACACTGAATTGGGTCGATGATAGGAGAAAGTATTCCGGTTAATCAGGATAGAGGAATTTGAGTGGCCAAAAGGTGAAAAATTTACTCATAACGTGCATACTTTTGACCACATGGAATAGACTTTAGGATTAGGCAGGCTAGTGTCTGCTGAACCATTTCTTCACAGATTTTGCATACTTTTCATTAAAAAATTTCATTTGGGGTAAGCAGAAAACATGTAAACTATATTTCCCCACTCTCCTCTAGGTATACAATTTTTTTTTAATGAAAAAGAAAGATATAATAATAAAAAATACGGAATTAATATTTTTCGCTTCGATTGCAATATTTTGTGGACTAGTGATTTTTGTGCAATCTTCAATCTATGTTTATTTTGAAGGTTTTGTCTTATTTCATCAGCTCTAAATAATATTTATGTTCACTTGTTGCATTAAATACAACAGAAATAGAAGAAAAAACCATTTTCTGCTTCAATTTTCAGGAGAAGTTTGAATGAAATGTTGATCATTGCGCGAACTGCGATTATCATTAGATTCCCTGATCGAAGGCCTCAAATTCTGCGTCAATTGGCATAAGGTTCTCCCAAGACACAAATCTCAAATTCAATTCACACGAATTGGAATCAATCAGCGCGTTTCAGTGCCTCGAATTATAGAGAAAGGCTGAGGCGCGCTGTGAAAACAGATCGGCATTATCTGACTGCGTCTCGAAGTGTGGAAAAGGTCACAACACAGCATTTTTCCCTCCTTGAACTATTCCACACAGCGCTCGTGAAATCGCATAGGGAAAATTGATTTTCGCCCGCCACTGGCGAGCGCTTGGGTGGCGAATGAAAATCGGGGAGTCGCTCAGTTGAGCCGTGGCAGAAAAATGAATTCAGCAAGAAGACGGTAATGATGAAAAAAAGGTGGGCAGGAAGGTGTGTTCTGCTTGTGTGACTCTCTTGTGTGCGTGCAGCGAGAGTGAGAGTCAGAGTCGGGAGACTTTTCGCCAGTCGCGCGGGCCCCAAATTGCCAGCGCGGAGCCCAATTTGCCGCCCAATTGAACGTCATGCGGCGACTGGGCTTTTTCATCCAGCTCCGCAGCTGGAGGTCGTCCAGTGAGACCCGCTTTTCCTCTATTTGGACTGCCACATTCGAAAGAAAAACTCAGAGGCACAACGTCACACGGTGGCGGAGTCCAGGTGACTGGGAAACTTAATCAAAATGGCTGGGAAATTCTCAAGCGATTCTGCAATCAATTTCCACAGAGAAATCGTTTTGAATTTTTAAGGATTGTGCAATTGACACTCTGAACTTGTTGATTGCTGCTCAAAGCGGCCCCTTGTCTGGGGAAAATAGGCGGCACCGCGTTCAGGCCGCGCTGTGGCAGCGGAAAAGCTCCCAAACATGCGCGCCTATCTATTTGTGGCCACTGGAGTGGGTGGGATTTTCCGGGCTGAGACCATTTGGAAAGTTAGCGCTTCCGGGCGAAGCGACTGACGTGTGCAGCTTGTGAGGCCTCCGAGGCTCGCCCGCTGGCAGCCGCGGGGCCCCACAGACGGCCCGGAAAGCCAATCAGCTGAGTGGCAACAAAATGGCGACACACTCGGGCTCCGGCGTTGCCCAGCCCAGAGCCCTACGCGAACGCCCAAGGGCACCTCCGCAGCACTCAGTGGGCTGAGCCCGAGCGCCCGGGGCCCTCGCATCGCATGTGGGGTGCTGAGAGACTCACCTTTCACGGTGGAGCAGGCAAATTCTGTCCTTGGCCACTCGCAGCTTCTTGGCCACGATTTTCTTGAGGTTCTCCACGGAGTAGTGAGTCTCCACGGCCTGGGTAAAGTTGCCCCCCGTGGTGGTGCTGATGTTGATGGTGATGGGCTCCTCTGGGCCACACCCAGTCGGTGCATCCCGAGAATCGCTGCCCGACGAGTTCTCCATGATTCTTTTTGGCCGTGACGGTGCAAATGGGAATCCGCTCACTGCCCACCCTTCTTCACGCGTCCCAGTCACGCCACTCACTCACGCGGCTCACTGACACTCTTTTCCAGTCACTGCTGTCGCCCCTGGGGCCACTAAACGTCGGATAATCCACTATTTCTGATTATGTAAGGGCGAGACATTTTTGTGGCGAAAAACTCCTCGGCAGCGTAGACTGAAATCGCATACAGGAAAAAATGACTTGGAGTGTCACTGGCAGAGACATCTGCAGGCAAAATCCAACGAGTGTCTGGCAGAGGGGGCGATTACGAAAATTTCATGCAAAAATCTAGCAAAAATTCACGAGTTGTGACTACATCAGGCACTTACGTCCACAGGAAGACTTCTTAAGTACATTTTCTCTTGCCACACACCATACAAACTGCAAGAAACACGGATTTTCTGGTGTTTTCTCAAATTTGATTAGAAATGAAAATTTCATTGAAATTTTCACTCTTCACTTTCGCCACTAGTCGGCCTGTCAAAACAAAAACATTAATGGCGCCTTCGTCTTTTGTTTGCACTGCTACTCGTTAATTTATAATTTGTGATTGTCCTTTTATTGTGGCGGTGTCTCAAGAAATTTCCATACAAATGAAGGCATTCTGAAGTTTCCTTCAATATGCACATCAAGCAGGTAATTTCAAGATACGTTTCCTACTCTAGAATTGCACGGAAAATACTTGTTGTGTTTGAGGTTATGCCAGTGACGCCCTGATTAATTCTCCTTGTTTCTTCTTTCAGGTGATTATACAAGGATTCAAGAGCTATCGTGAGCAAACAATCGTTGAGCCTTTTGATAAGAGGCACAATGTTGTGGTGGGAAGAAATGGATCCGGGAAGAGTAACTTTTTCTACGGTGAGTTTCCGACTTGATTTTGAAGAGATTTCGACTAATTTTGTTGTGTTTTGCAGCCATCCAATTTGTTCTGAGCGATGAGTTTACTCATCTACGTCCGGAGCAGCGGCAGGCGCTGCTGCACGAGGGCACGGGAGCGCGAGTCATGTCGGCGTACGTGGAGATCATCTTTGACAACACCGACAACCGCGTTCCGGTAAGTATCCGTCTAGAAAGTCAAGTCTGGAGTGTGATTCTAATGGGAAGTCTCTTTGCAGATTGACAAGGAGGAGATTTGCCTGAGACGCGTGATTGGAGCCAAGAAGGATCAGTATTTCTTGAATAAGAAAGTCGTGCCGCGCACAGAAGTGGTGAATCTGCTGGAATCGGCGGGATTTTCCAATTCAAATCCCTACTACATAGTGAAGCAGGGCAAGATCAATGAGATGGCTACTGCGGCGGATGCACAGAGATTGAAATTGCTGAGAGAAGTGGCCGGAACGCGAGTGTACGATGAACGGAAAGAGGAGTCGATGAACATTTTGAAGGAAACCGAAGGGAAAGTGGAGAAGATCACTGAATTCTTGCTGACCATTGAAGAACGCCTCAAGACACTGGAGGAGGAGAAGGAGGAATTGAAGGAGTACCAGAAGTGGGACAAAGCGAGACGCACTCTTGAGTATATTATACATGAAACTGAGTTAAAGGAGATGAAAAAGCAGTTGGAGGAACTCGAGCATCAGCGCAAGACGTCCGGGGACAAGCAGAAGCAGTTGTTGCAGGAGGTGCAAAAGGCGCAGGAGAAAATAAAGGGGATCCAGAAGAATCTCAAGGAGGCCAAGAAGGAAGTGAGTGTGGCAAAGGAGGACAGATCTGTGCTGTCGGCGGAACAGCAGCAGCTGCTGAGGGAGAAGACAAAGCTGGATCTCACAATTCTGGACTTGACAGACGAAGTGCAGGGTGACAACAAGAGCAAGGAGCGCGCTGAGCAGGAACTCGAGAGGCTGAAGGTGACGATTGCGGAGAAAGAGAAGGAGCTGGATGACGTGAGGCCGCGCTATGAGGCCATGCGGAAGAAAGAGGAGGAGTATTCCAGGGAGCTGGCGCTGAAGGAGCAGAAAAGAAAGGAGTTGTATGCGAAGCAGGGTCGAGGATCACAGTTCTCGTCTAGGGATGAGCGTGACAAGTGGATCCAGAATGAGTTAAAGTCGCTGAACAAGCAGATAAAGGACAAGATATCGCATCAAAATAAGCTGACTGATGATCTCAAGAGGGATGCCACGAAGCAACAGGAGTTGGAGAAGAAGATCGAAGATCAGGGATCGGAGGTGGAGAAGCTGAGGCTTCAGATTGATGAGCACAACAAGCAGTACTACGAACTGAAGAAGCAGAAGGATCAGTATCAAGCGACGAGGAATGAATTGTGGCGCAAGGAGACTCAAATCACGCAGACGCTGTCTTCGCACAAAGAGGAGCTCGCCAAGGCGGATCAGGCGTTGCGTTCAATGGCCGGAAAACCAATCCTCAACGGCCGGGACTCGGTGAGAAAGGTGCTGGATAGCTTCGAGCAGCGCGGAGGATCATTTGCTGACATCGCGAAGGCCTATTATGGTCCTGTGATTGAGAACTTCAACTGCGACAAGACGATCTACACAGCTGTGGAGGTGACAGCCGGAAATCGTCTTTTTCACCACATTGTAGAGTCGGATCGCGTGGGCACGCAGATACTGAAGGAGATGAACAAGCAGAAGTTGCCTGGAGAGGTGACTTTTATGCCTCTGAATCGCTTGCAAGTGAAGATTCACGACTATCCTGACGATCCGGATTCCATTCCAATGATCTCCAAGTTGAAGTATGGGGAGAAGTATGATAAGGCACTGCGCTACATTTTTGGGAAGATCCTGATTTGCCGTAATCTCGAGAGGGCAACAGAATTGGCCAAGAGCACCGGATTGGACTGCGTCACACTCGAGGGTGATCAGGTGTCGTCCAAGGGATGTCTCACTGGAGGTTACTTCAACACTTCGCGCTCTCGGCTGGAGATGCAGAAGAAGCGCAGTGAGTATATGGAATTGATCACGGATCACGAGAAGGAACTTGCGTCGCTGCGTGAGCATCTGAAGAAGACGGAGAATAGTATCAACACAGTCGTGTCAGAGATGCAAAGAACCGAGACGAAGCAGGGAAAGTCTAAGGACATCTTTGACAAGGTTCAGGCCGATATTCGGCTGATGAAAGAGGAACTCACGCGCATTGAGCGCTTCAGGAATCCGAAGGAGCGCTCTCTGGCGCAGTGCAAGGCCAATCTCGAGGCGATGAATAGCACAAAGGAGGGACTCGAGAGTGAGTTGCACCAGGAACTGATGTCTCAGCTCTCGACTCAGGATCAGCGCGAAGTGGATCAGTTAAATGACGATATTAGGCGTCTGAATCAGGAGAACAAGGAGGCTTTCAGTGCTCGTATGACATTGGAGGTGACGAAGAACAAGTTGGAGAATCTGCTTACGAACAATCTGTTCAGAAGAAGGGATGAGTTGGTGCAGGCTCTGCAAGAGATTTCTGTGGAGGATCGAAAGCGTCAACTCAACAATTGTCGTAATGAATTAACGTCCACGGACAAAAGGATCAAGAAGGTTAATCAGGACCTTGAGGATATGGATAAGAGGTGAGTGTTGGTTAATAATGTGATGTGGGAAATCTAATGTTCTGGATATCTTCAATTTCAGAGTTCAGGATGCAGTTAAGATGCAGAAGTCTCTTCAGAAGGAACTCGAGACATTCACTCTGGTAGAGAAGGAAGCCCAGGAGAAGATCGATGATGATTCTAAGCGTTTGGAGAAATGGACGGCGAAGGAGAACCTCCTGCATCAGAAGATCGAGGATGCCACGGAGAAGATTGCCAGTTTGGGTGCTCTGCCCCAAGTGGATCCAGCCTACTCTAGGATGTCCCTGAAGAGCGTAAGTTACTTTTACAAGCACTTGTTAGAGCAGGGCCAAAGGCCTTGATTGCAACTTCAAATTTCATTTTATCTTTTTACAGCTCTTCCGGGAACTCGAGAAGGCCAATCAACATCTGAAGAAGTACAATCACGTGAACAAGAAGGCTCTGGATCAGTTCTTGAGCTTTTCAGAGCAGAAGGAGAAGCTGTGCAAGCGCAAGGAGGAGTTGGACATTGGAGATTCGAAGATCAGAGAATTGATGCAGACGCTGGAGATGAGAAAAGTGGAGGCCATTCAGTTTACATTTAAGCAAGTGGCGCAGAACTTCACGAAGGTCTTCAAGAAGCTGGTGCCACAGGGATCAGGGCATCTCGTGCTGAAGACGAAAGACAGCGAGAGCGAGGATATTGATCCGGGTGTGGCGACCTCTGATGCTTTCACTGGGATTGGGATTCGTGTGTCCTTCACGGGTGCCGATGCGGAGATGCGAGAGATGAATCAATTGTCCGGAGGACAGAAGTCTCTCGTGGCTTTGGCGCTGATCTTCTCTATTCAGAAGTGCGATCCAGCACCATTTTATCTATTCGACGAGATTGATCAGGTGAGCGGAAGAGGGATTGACATTCCATTGAAGGAGTATAGAATAATGCGAATTTGTTTATCTCAGGCGTTGGATGCTCAGCATCGCAAGGCAGTTGCTGACATGATCCATGAGCTGAGCAGCAAAGCCCAATTTATCACAACAACTTTCCGACCGGAACTGTTGGAAAATGCCCACAAGTTTTATGGTGTGAAGTTCCGGAACAAGGTGAGTCACATTGATTGCGTCCTGAAGGAAGAGGCACGAGATTTTGTGGAGGATGATCAGACCCACGGCTAGATTTAGTTTCTCTCAGTGTAGTAGTGTTTAGAGACAGAAATATGAATTTGAACTCCAATTGCTATAAAGAAAATTTTTCGTTTGTGTAAAAGCAAACTTCTTGTCTTGTTCATTTGTCAATCATTTTTATTAAAATCAGCGTTTGTACAGCGGAAATGAAATGAGACAAAAACCGTTCTAACGAGTGCAAAAGGTAAAAAGGTGAATAGAGAATAATTGAATTTACAATTCGGGTAAATTGTTGTATAGTTAATGTACATAAAACGCACTCGGCTTAGAATCAATCGCCCTTAATCTAGGGGTTGAAGATGATTTTGGAAGGCCACTTTCTTGATCACATTCACTGCGTACGCGCTATTCCAGTCCCGATCAAATATTGCTGCTAGATTGAGTCTCAGGCTCTCGCTCTCCGTCATGTTGTGCTGTCCGTGCTCCGGATCCATCATCACTAGCCCGATGCCGGCGGTGTCGATGAAGTAGTCGCCGGACCAGTTGGAGGTGCCTACGAACGCCACGTTGTCCGTGACCATGTACTTGTTGTGGTTCACGCGAGCGAAGGGAATGCGCGCCTGGTCGTCGGATTTGGGCACGATGAAGCGCTTGATCTGCACGTTGACATTCTTGTAGGCTTCTGAGATGTCCTCCAGTGAGCGCAGGAAGTAATCTTCGGCGGGACGCGAGTTGTTCCACCATGATATGAGCAGTTTCACAGAAACCTTATTCTCAATGGCCGCTTTGCGCAGGGCATTGTCTATCTGGGGCCAAAATCTGCAGAGAGAAAACACAGAAGGTTACTCATCCACCCTTTGCGTTTTGCTGCATTTGTTTATCAATTTAATGGCACTTTTTCACTGTCGAAATTTGAAAAGCTGCCGTGCTGTATTGACAAAGTGCCTTCAGTGGTGTGTATAAATGAGTTACGAAAATGCCATTAAGCATTTATGCACGCTTTCGCTGCAAAGACAATTTAAGGGGGGCACAAAGCCTTGATGCATTTTGGCATCATGCAAAGAGGAACTCACTGTATTTTTGGCGTGTAAATCGTGAGCGGGAAGTAATCCATAACGGCGATATGGATGAACTTTTCGGCGTGTGCGATTATTTTAACAATGGCATCAACGTCCTGCTCTCTGCCACTTGGGCTCATGGGCGGCGGGGAGCTCTGCAAAGGACAACAGATGGTTAGTGGTGTGGCGTGTGTGGGATTAACAGTTGGACTCACTGAGAAGAAGATATTTGAGCTGAACTGGGAATTGTTGTAGTTCACGCGAAGCGGCGTGTCGTAGTTGTACTTCGTGGCGTAGGAATCTGGCCACTTGTCTGGGATTTGGGCACTGTCCTCGCCCATGTCCCAGTACACACTGAAGATCTTCGCCACGTCCTTGGCCAGACATGTGCAATTCGTTGCAAGAACGCCCAATTCTTTCACCTGTGTTGGAATTAAAATAAAATTTGCGTGGACGAGGCATGAAAATGTGCGGTTTTGCAAACCTGTGTCAAGGACCTCCAGTCCATATTGGCGCTCCCCAAATATAAGTGCTGTCCATCAACAATCCACAGTTTGGTGTGTAACACGCCGCCGCCCAGGAGCCGTGGGAAATTCACCGATCGCACCTGTGCGGCGCCGCGCTTGATCAATATCTCAGTGTCAATGTTGGGCTGAGCCTGTGTGGGGGCGCTCTGAGCCACCCGCACCGCGATGCCGCCCCTTGTGCCCGCTTGCAGCAGTGCCTGGAAGATCTGCTCGCCCTGCCACGAGGATGAGTCGTTGACCACATCGGCGCTCCGCAGCGTCCAGTAGAAACTGGCGATGTCGATGGACTTCGTGGCCAGGCCGATGAGTGTCTGCCACGCGTCGAAGGTGCTGCGAAACGCCACGCTGCCTGCCGGATACGTAAGGCCTTCGGGGATGCTCTCCACCAGTTGAATGCTGCAGCGAGACAGTGGAATTGTGAGGTCGCAGGAAGTGACAAGAAATGTGTGTCCTCACGTCCAAATGACCGTCAGCACGCGATGCCGACTGCAGGACAATGTGGACTGTCCGACGGGGAGCAAATTGCACTCTGGGGGTGGATAATTACCATATACCGTCACATATGGCGAAGGAAGTGAATTAATTTTGCATCAAGATGCCAGTTTCGGGGTAATAAAGCAATTGTTTTTCTCAGCTTTGACACGGGGGCGCTTTTTGAGGTGCTGCGAACCTTGCAAGATATGGAAGAGTTTACCTGTGTTCAGACAGGAAGTGTGGCAAATATTTAAGGAAAAGGACGATCCTACTTTGCCAGGTACTTTGCTCTTTTGATTTCCTTCAGTGTTACCATTTCTTCACCTTAAAGATATTGTCATGGAATAAAATACTGTGTTGATTTTATCCTTGAATTCCGATTAGGATCTGCTTTTTTCAATGTGACTAGAATTTTAAATCGTAAAAAATGAATGAATTATGCGAGGTGACTAAGTAACGACTATTTGTCGACCTCTAAAAAGAGATTATCATAATGAAATTAGGGAAGATATATTGGCTTTGTTCGAGTATCGGTCAAATTTCAGTATTTCAGTAGTTCCTATTGCTCTTTATGTGTTTATAAAGGTGAGAATTTAGAAATTAATTGAAAAACATCGTAGATCAATTTTTAGAACGTAAAATATTCCATTAACCCAGGGAGATTATGGGAACGATTGAACTCACTTGCAACTGTCCGGACAAAGGAAGGCTGAGTCACTGAGGCGATTGGTCTTCTCGCTGGAGTGATCGAGGAGCGGCAGCAGCACCACGAGGACGATGAGGATGAGGATCACGGAGATTGGGATGCAGGAGGGCTTGCACCAGGCATTGTGGCCCCACATGGGGCCCTGTTGCTCGCGCAGCATCTCGCTGTGTTGATCCCACAGCTCAAAGTCGTCATCTTGGGCTGTGTTTGTGTTGCTCTCGAGCACCGTCTGCAAAATCGCCAGCAAAGCGGAGAGTTTTAGCACAGATAGTTCACTAGTCAACAAAAACAGCTGCTTTTACGCTCTTCTTGTCGTCGTCAGCGTCAAAGACGTTGATCTGCAGCTTCATCGTGGCGTAAACAACGTGTGGCCGGCTGACTTTGACACTTGACGCAAAAAAAACAAAACACCAAAATTTCCTACTGATAGCAAAAGTTGCGATTAAGCGTGGCCGCGGGATTTCATGATCAAATGTGCTCTCGTGGGCGGCGCGACGGCGAGTGTCGCGGTGTTGTTTTGAATTGGAGAAGGAAAGTTGCGTGAAAGTGGACGCGACGTCGCAGTGGACAGAGAATGTCTCCATGGAAAGTCTCCGAAAGCGGCAGTGCGTTTGCCTCGCTGCCAACATAGCATGCTAGCTGGTAAAAGTGGCGCGCAAAATGAGAGATCATGAATAATTAATGCTGGACAGAAAGCAGTAGGAAATACTAGAACAAACATAGAGCCTCCTTAGCCATTATTTTCATACGCTGGCGGAAGCAAGTACGGTACAAATTACGCAATAATTCAGCAATTGCAGGCAGCAATTTAGTCGCTATTCAGTTATTAGTTAGACGCACACTTAGCCGATCTGTAGTGATTCGCAATATGGATTTTCGAAGCGACACTCGAAAGAATCTTCTTATATCACTTACAAATGAACATACTGAGCAATTTAGGAGACATCCCATTATCGCGCTGCAGCTAAATGGGATGGAAGTCGCGGGAACCTGGTCAGCACCTCAGCGGCTCTAATTGATTTCACCGTGAAGTGCCGCTCATCCGCCTGTTTTCAAAAGTCGTTCTCACACATTAGACTCCTTGGTAAGCATGCCACGCACTGTACATTCTTCCCTGTTCATGGACTTGAGAGAATTTCGTGAGGACAAGTGCTCTGTCACAATATTCGCTTCCATAATAAAAAGTCGTAATGCATTTAGGCGATTTTCTGAATTTCGTCATATGACGAGGATGTGTGAAATTATTTCTATTTAAAGTAATTTTGCATTCGTTATGCCAAATTTTTAAAGATATTTTGTAGTAAAATTGTAAGGACAGAATATTAATCCTTGTCATCTGTAATGGGAACTTTAGTGAAGTCGAAATTACCGAAGGAATTGCCTTAAAATTTTCCCCCTAAAAATAATTGGATGTTATATACGACCTTTGTTTATGGAACTGACAATGCGACAGGCTTGTTGATTTTACCCTCACCCGCATTTATATGCAATTGTCCTGAGAGGGCGTGTAACTGCTTTGGCTAAATTTACCGCCGTTGGTCGTATTTTAGTCACTATACTATATTAAAACCTAATAAAAACATATTTGATGTTTGCTAATCCAAAGGAAATATAACATATCACTTCCCATCTTTGCACACTTTGATACTCTATTTGGCATTGAATATGTTAATAAAAAAGGCTGTCAACAGTTACACACCCTCTCGACCTGTCCCACCCTGTTCGCTAGTGTAATCAATCAATATCACACTTTAACTATACCTTCGCTCTTTATTTTCATTGTCTCACGTCAATTGTGGAACAAGTGTCGTGTTTCACTTGGTAAAAATGAGCAAAAAATCACGAGGGAGTCCTTATCAGTCTCTGCCCTTTACCTCAGTTCGCGGTTTTTTTTCGTGTACCGATTTAGCAGTCAAAGGAAAGTCATATTGTCACAGATGGCAAAGAGAGTGCATCGCGGAGCGCGTTTACCAACAAACTGGCCACGAATGGGTAGAATTTTTGCAAGGCGGCCTCACATTACTATTCACAAAAGTGCTCTACATTTTGCATCAGCGTGAAAATCGATAGGGAATTTATTTAACCCCATCACAACGAGGTGAAATTGGGCGGGAAATTATCTTACTCCGCAACCACTTTTCATGCACTGAAATCACGTGCAAGGCGTGCAGGACTCGCGTTGCCCCAAAATTACCTGGCACACGTCTGAAAGGCCTCGCGGAATGGATGGGGGAGAAAGGGGGCAGATAATTGCTCTTCGGTGTAATATTTCGTTCTTCCGCCCTGGCGTAAGGTAGGAATGGACTTTAGTTTGCAGGTGTGAATGAACAGGGCGACAGTGAAAAGGCAAAAAAAATGAGGGGAAAACATGAATTTTCTTTTCACGTTTGACACGAAGACGAAAAAACAATTTGTTTTGTTGAAATCAAGGTGGAGAATTTGTTAATAGTAGTGTACAGCTCATCAGGTTATGAAGTGTTTATAAATACATTGCTGTCTCAGTGTCTATTAACAAATTCACTAAGAATATTCAGTGATAAGAGTAACAAGAGTAAACACTGTCGAAGTGTACAATTGTACCTATATTATCTTCCCCTTTGTTACAATTGTAAGAATTTCTTAGGAAAAAAACACGAATGCTTATTTGATTAGAAGGATTATTGGGTATGTGTTATGTATAGAATGGAAAGAGAGAAATTCTGAAAGGATTGAAGACATTTTCAAGTAATTTTCCATCATGCATAGGAAATTGTTATGCACGAAGAAAAAATATCCTTGTTGAAAGTTGCAAGTCATGAAATATATAGAGTCATCAAGTTAAATTCAGAATACCACTGTACTGAAAGAATGGATAATTTTCCCACAGTAGGTATTTTAAATACCGATAAACAATGGAGTAACAGCAGAACATTGATCAATAGTGTGTTCGTGATAGCCAAAAGTCCGTTATTGAATTTCACACGCATTACGACCTCAAAAGTGATAAGGTGGCTCTCGATGGCCCCGCGCGGATCAATAGAGACGGCACGGTTAATTGCTGTTTGGCGGAATGACGAAAAAGGGGTCCTGCCTCAATTTATGGCCTCAATCACGCGAATGGTGTCTGCGGGATGACGAATCGTGAGGGTGGTGAGGACAAGGTCGCCTGTCCCTCAATGTCAGTCGCGTTTGGGGACAAGGATAAATGACTTACGCTGAGACGGTGCTTGTAGGTGGAGAAGATGCTCTTGCGGCTCTTGGCTGTGGCCAGAGATGTGGCGTTCCCGGAGGCGTTGGGCGACAGCAGGACCACGCTCTGCTCCTGATCGAGGGTGCTCCCGGACGGGCCTTCGGGCGGTCGCGCGAACGCCGAATTGAAGTTGTTGTGCTGGAAATTGGACGAGTTGTCGCCATAGCTGACATTGTTGTTCACCTGGATCAGGATACTGGACGTCTGGCAGGCGATTTGGAAGAGTCCAGCCTGCAGATCGTGCTGCCCCCGTGACTCGCCCGATCGATTGATGTGAATGTAATCCCAGAGATTCGGCATTTCACACCACACGAGGAGTCCTCAAGCTTCACTCCGCATCAGTCACATTCTTTGTGCCACGAACACTATTGGAACCTATGGAAATCCGCCAGTTCTTCGCGAGGGATTGAACAGAACTGAGAACTCGAACGCGACGCGAGGGTAATTGATTGTAATGGATTGATAAGGGCCTAATTTGATAGGGAACAAATAAATAAGACGACTGCGCAGATCGACGGGTCTTCGGGTGGATGGTCACTTCTTGCTGTGCGTGAATGGGTTGTAAGTGCCACCCACTCGTGGCGACGTCTCGAGCAATGGAATCGCCTCACAAACTTGTGTAAATGCGCTTCGAAGTATGGAAAATAATTCGAGCGCGTTTTTCAAGCACATGTTGTTTTATCGTGGCACGCGGCGATGTTACGGGAAGTCCACCGGATGTGGAAAGTAGTTCCTCACGATATTTTATGCAGAATTCATGAGAAATCTCAAAATGTGACCTTTGGGTCATTCTGAGAACAAATTTGCAATTAATCGGTCGCCAAAGGGTCACTAAATGACTATAATTTCCATGCTAATTGGGTTCTTTGTGACTTCAGAGAAAACAGTGCAACAGACAAGATTGAAAATCTCTTTCTACTCTGGTTTATCTGGCCATTTCAGTCTGGATGAAGTGATATTTCATTAATATCCTTGACTTTATTAAAATCCCTCCCCTTCAATATTTCCATGGCAGAACGTGCAGCCCAACAACTGAAATATGATGTAAGTCAAGCTTGGTCATTATAAAGACGCATTCAGTTGTAATTATTCATAATTGGTCAGTCGATGGGCGAATTGTAAATGTTTCTTATTGATCGCCGACGTCACCTGGTGGATTTCCTGACGAAATGGCCTGCCATTTCGTCAGTAAACGCGTTCGTGGCGATGATTTGGGAAACAGTCGCAAGGATTTCCACCCCACACGCGTGTTATGTTATTGACCCTCTTCGCCAAGCGTATATAATTTTGGGGGTGATGAGGAACCAACGCCACGAGGCGAGTGCCTGATTAATTAATTTTTATTCCACTTTCGAGAAAGTCTGACTCATGAGCATTAAAAGTTAATAAGTCACAGAATTGTCCAAAAAATTGACACGAATTTTCTGTGTCTTTGGATTCGTGGAAAATCCATGATTGATTATGATGACCACTCCAAAAGGAATCAAACTTACGGTAAGAACGTGTGGGTGTGTAAATGAGTTACTCTAAGACCTGTGGTAAAAATATAGGGCATGATTGCGGCCAGAGTGATTACTGGACACTGTCATTGAAAGTTTAACCCAAATAGTGTAATTTCTATATTCCAGAAATCATGATAATTTGCCTAATTTCTCATTCAATAAAGAATTTCTTATTCCTAGACAGTTGTAAATGGGAATATCAACACGATTTATGTACTTCAAATTAATGACACTTTATTATGTTCTTTATTACCTTGTTACTGTTGCGATATCATGTAATGGACATACAAATATTCTGACTGGCAGCAAGAAAAAAATTAATATTCATACATTTGCCCTTTCGAGTCTTTTCAATATTTTCTTTTCTCTATAACTCAGACTCGGTCTAGAATCAACACAACTTATATTAGCAGAGCGGATGCTTATCTGCATTTTAATAATTCCTCACCAGTCTGTGCTCTATCGCGATCTCTGATCTAGGAATGAAGCAGATAGCGCGAGATATTACATCAGACGGAAAACTCGATTCGCGATCGCGCTAATTTAGGTAGCAATTCTGTGCAGATTGTCATTGAATTGCTATGAACTTGCGTTGCTATGCAATTTGCCATCTCTTCTCTTTATTCCGTCCATCGAGGCTGATGAAATAAACCTGCTCCATTGATCAAGATGCTGAGATCAGCCTCCCAAAAAAAGATAGGAAAAAAAGAAATGCGGAGTTGATGACCCAAATTTTCCGCAATCGCGAACGCGTGGTTCCCAACTTTTTTCTCTGCCGACTTTGCACTCATTTGTGGTCGATTTGTAAGTTTTATTTGACGCTTTATCGCGCCAATTGGAAGTGCGTCAGCAGACATTAAAGTCCGAGACATCTCTATGAATAATAATATTAAAACGTAATTATATTGCTATTGAGCATGGGAATGTTGAGGAAGTGATAAAGCTTGATTGTTCGCGCGAGTCTAGAGAGACGCCTGGAATCTGGGCAAATTCGTCGCAGCACGCGATCAGTGATTTGGCTTGTGATCCTTGTTGTGATTCTGGGCATAGAAGAAGCAAATATTGGGAGAAACTATCTTCCCAGTACGAAATTCAATCAGAGCGAAGCGGAATCGAGTGTTATCAGTCTGTGCGATTTTTTGGCGCGCGCGCAATGATTTTTGTTTGGGACAGTTTTTCTGTCCGTTTTTCCGCAGAAAATGCGCGCACGAGACGAAGAGCGAGCTGAGCGAGATGGAGCGAGACTGCTCGCCAGGCTGGAGATCAGTTGGAGCGCAAAATGCACAAGCGATCAGAACGGTCTCGAGTGCAGACGTGAGTTGCAGTTTGAATTGCTTTACAGAGATTAATTGAGCGCAGATTTGTGCCCATTAATTGGCAAGAGTGAAAGTGACTAGAGATTTTCCATTGTTGCGCGAGATCAGCTGTGGGAAAAATTCAGCAGTAAAAGTGCAGCATTCTGTCGAGGGAAATGGCCTTTTTCCGGAATATCTGGAAGAATTCAAAGCACAAGAGTGAGTATAAACTGAGATGATGATGGTTTTATCTGTGCGCGAGGCATTTTTAACTCTGGCGCCAGTCGAGAAAAAAGATTGTGCACAATTTCCCGCCTGATCGCAATTTGTCGATTTGTTTTCTTGGAGAGAAACTGGCTCCGTGGAGGAAAAGTCCTAGCGAAGCGATCGATATGGTAATGAGGGGAGGCGAAGTGATATAATACCTCGTATTAGATGCTCAGGAATCCGATATCAATTAACTTTTATGACGCTCGCACCGCAAAACGGTCAATAATTGCCACTTTGTGACAAGAAATCAACTGTTGCTGATCGATTGAGAGCTCATGATCGTGGGATAAAAGGTGATAAGTCCGCAATGAGTGATAATTTTGAGTTTTATATAATCTCATCTGAAACGGTGAAGTGATTTGCATCAATTTCAAGCTCCATTGATGATATTGAGTTATCAAGAAATGATCTGAATTTTTGAGATCACGTTTGCTGAAAAATTGCGTGATAACTTCAATTTATAATCTTTATTTTATCGCCATTTTACGATAACTTTTACCTGAAATCTCCGTGGATCATTGAATAGAGTCGCAACATGAGAAAACACTGTGAAAATTAGTAATGGATTTCAATTAATCATCTTTCTCCTTTGCTCGGCGGATGAACGTCCTTTGCCTGTGCGCTTTCATTGACCTCTGGCTCATGAAATTGATGCCCGAATTTCCCTTTTATCGCCTCTTCATTCACCCAGAGTGCATTAACATTTCTTGTATGCGTCTGTCACTCGATAAGACCCTGACAATGTTCAGATAATAATTAATTCATGTTCAATTATTAAATTGATAATTGATTTTTTTCTCCTCCTCTCGTCGCGCCTGTATTCTTTTTATAAGAGAATTTACGGTGGTCAATTCGCGTGAAAAATAATGCTTATATCGGGAATTGATAAGGGATGATTGCATTTTTTACATTGTGAACACTTTTTACTGGTTAAATGCGGTGTTTTCTGATCTCCTTGGCAGAACTGTGCGAGGAATGGGCGCTTGCCACGAACATGAGGGACTTCAATGATCCTCACGAGGACTTGGAGGACGGCTCGGAGCCCTCGGCGTTCGCCGTGAAGTACTTGGGCAGCACTGTGATCGACGCCGCCCGATCTGAGGATGCCACAGCCGAGGCGGTCAAGACGGTGATCTCAACAGCTAAAGGTCTGTTTTTCCAGTCTCTAAACTGTCCTCTGACTAATCCTCCTCTTGCTCATCCACAGCCAGTGGCAAGAAGCTGCAGCGTGTCAATCTTTCAGTCTCTCCTAAAGGCATTGAGGTTTACGATCCGGTTTCTGGTGAGACTCAGCAGCAAGTTTCCGTCTATCGGATATCGTATTGCTCAGCGGATGCGACTCATGACCATGTCTTTGCATTCGTGAGCAGTCTCTCTGAGGTCTCAGAGACCCCGGCCCTGCTCGAGTGCCACGCATTCCTCTGCCCAAAGCGCAAAGTGGCCCAAGAAGTTGCTCTCACCGTGGCCAGGAGCTTTGGGCGCGCCTATGAGGTGAGTAATTCGTGGAATACACTCTCTATCGTCGCTCTTCTCACGCTCTCGATCTCACCAGCTGTGGCAGGCGGCGTCAAAGCGGCGGAAGGTGATGGAGGAACAAAAACAGGATATAGTTCAGCCAGAGAGCAAGGCTGTGAGGAGTCTCTTGATCGACTTCAGTGCAGAAACAGACATTTGCAAGGATCGCAGCGCGTACTTCCAGAACACGTGGGTGTCCTTCGAGGAGAACGAGTCCACCCACGATCTCAGCTTCATTTCACACAGACATGACAATTCTATGGCGTGCTCCTGAGGGAATCACAAACATTTTATTATCTGTAATCTATTGAAGAATATAATGGTGGTTTTTTAGCGGATTATTTTTGTTTCGAGCGTGCAAAATCCAAAGCGCCATCTGAACTGAAACACTTTGGAGACTTTCCACTGTCAAACTCGTCATTGCACAAATTGTAAACAACAATACATCTTCTTTGATTTTCTTGCTTTTCTTTGCTTTTCCGGGAAGTTTTTCTTCATAAAATTGAGCTGGGAAGTACCCTGAGATGTCTGGTAAATGAATTCATTAAAGAAATTATTGTTTTTTTGGGAATAGTGCCTGAATTCAGTGTGTGTTTACAGAGCCGGCGGACTGTAATCTTCTAGTAATAGTTCTGGATACAAATCCTTCTCAGAGGATCATCCGGACAAATACTCACCACATGACGCAATGTCTGGATTCTATAATAGCCTTTGGGAATGCCCATCTGATGCAAAGAGCTCAGAATAAGCTTGCTGTATTGGCTTGTCATCACCATGCTACGTGAGTTTCACAACTTCAGTCAATTATCGGGGAGTGTCTCATAAGTTCTTGGATGTTTTTGCAGGGAATTTATCTATCCTTCACCTGGGAAGCCCTTAGAAGTGCGCCAAATTGATGGCCAGTATGAACTATTTACGCTGGTTGAGAAAACAGTGAAGAGCAAGCTCACGGATTTGATCACGAATTCTCCACGGATGCACGGTCACACTGAGTCCCTGCTGGCCGGAACGATGACCATGGCGCTGTGCTACATCGCGCGTATGAACAGGAACAAGGCTCCAGGCACGAGGATTTGCTCTAGGATTCTCGTTGTCACCGGAAGCAACGAGTGCGCCTCTCAGTACATGACTTACATGAATGTCTTCTTCACGGCACAGAAGCAGAGCGTTGTCATCGATGTCTGCGCCCTGGACAAGCCTCTGAGTCTCCTGCAGCAGGGCTGCGATATCACTGGAGGCCAATATCTCAAGTTGCCTCAGCTCGAGGGACTTCTGCAGTACTTGTTGTGGGTCTTCTTGCCAGATCCACACACCAGGACTAAACTTGTCCTGCCACCACCGGTGAAGGTGGATTACAGGGCGGCATGCTTCTGCCATCGCGAGCTGATAGACATCGGTTACGTCTGCTCGGTTTGTCTCTCAATCTTCTGCAAGTTCAGCCCCATTTGCACTACATGCCACACGGTTTTCAAGACTCCTGCGCCCATTGCTGTGAAGCCAAAGAAAAAGAAGATCAGAACGTAGAAATTCGATTGTGTTTAGGAGTGATTTGTTAATAAAATGCGAAAATTAAAAAAAAATTTTCTGTAAAGTCGATGGAAATTGGATGGCGCGGGTGAAGGACCTGTTCGTATTCCCGTCGTTCTGCGGCGCTGCAGTCGCTGAGATGATGAGTTGTGAGTAAGTGCAGAAGAAGAAGAAGAACAAAGTGCAATTGTTTTGGGAAATCCAGGAAATTCTGCGCACTGGTGAGGTGAAAAGTGTTAGAAAATCGGTGAAAAGTTGGCCCCCGGCAGGGCGTTTCAGTGTAGCACCACGTCAGACGGAGCAACGAAGCAGGGGCGCTCGGCTCCTGCTTCCGGCCGGAGAAAGTGGCCGAGACGGCTGAGAATGCGGATGTGGCGGAGTCCCTCAGTCGCATCGACATCGAGGGGGGCGCATCGAGTCTCCGAGCCATCGATGATGACGACGAGGACGCCCCGGCTCAAGGTACATGGTCAGACCCCTCGAGCGGATGTCCCAATTAGCGCCAATTAGGCGTAGAGGAATTCTCCGGGCGCGGGCAATTAAGGCAAATTATCGCCCCAGAGATTCAATCCCACGAGTTCGCTCAGTCTCACGCCGCTTCCCGTGACGGTGGGACATTTCTCTGGGCGCCCGCGGTGACCCGATCGATGGTCGGGCGGTGAAAAAGGGTCAATTGGGGGATAATTTGCAGTGATTGCGCTGGCAAACTCGCAGCGCTGTGTCCATGGCCAGGAGAGGCGCCAGTGTCCGGAGCCGGATGTCTGAATGATTGTGTGAAAAATCGCTAATAGACTCCATAAACTGTGCGTTGTTTTGACGTGAAAAAGCGCCCCCCAAAAGAACTCAGAACAAATTGATGGTTTTTTTTCGCGAGAGTTTATATATAGTGGAAAATTGCTCACATTAAGTAAAAATGTGGATGTAAAATCTAGGGAAAAACTGATTGAAAAAGTGTGGGAACAGCAATTTTTAGTTACAAATTATCTGCTGAGGAAAAATATCAGAAAAAGTATCTCGAGGTATGCGAATTGCTTAATATGAAATAAAGTGCAAGTTTACTTGAGTTCAGCTTTAAATCAAGTTGAATTTGGTCACGCGAATTCCTTTTATTATCATAGGACTGACTGCGCGTATGCTTATCGCCTTAAATTTTCGACTGCGTGTTTTTAGTGGTATTTTATTGTACTTGTCGCGTTATACGAAATTTTGGCATTTATAAAATCATCGAAAGTTTGTCTTCTTCGTTTTCGCTTACTAATGGTATATTTTATCTTTCTAAAAACCGCTTTGACATCAATATTCTGTTCCACACTTTAAACATCTTGACCTACCGCAAAAGTCAACTCCTTCGTCAGCAAATTGCTCGTAGAAATGCGCTGCGGGTTTGAAAATCGATTTTCACGGAATGTGTAATGACATTTTAATTCACTCTCGCCTCTCTTTTGCTGTCGCCACAGGTGCCGGGGCAATGGCGAAGCCGCCTGCTGAGAGTCCGCGTGCCGAGGAGGCTAGCGCGGCGGCGTGCGAGAGCCCTGCAGAGCCCCAGTCTCCCAGCGAGGCGCCAGCTGCGCCAGTGACGATGTCCGGCGTCCGTAGGAAGTCCCGGCCGGTGCCCAGCTATGAGAATGATTCGGTGGTGGTGAATGGAACGAAGAGGAAGGTGAGGAGCAGCGATCGAATGGCAGCGCCTCAGATTCCGCCGGACAATGAGTACTATCACATTTGGCATGCGAGCGAGGGCGGAGGCGGCGATGAGGACTTCGAGGCTCCCCCGTTGCCGCCGAAGAACAGTGGGAATGGACTTCATCGACCACTGGAGCGCTCCTGGCCGCCGCGTGTATCGCGACAGACGAAGCCAATGTGTGATTTCAGCTTCGACATCATCGATACGGACGAGGCGCTGCTCAGTCTGCCCACGGACGTGAGTATGGCGGACCAGGTGGCGTTTGTGCCCGGAGAATTCTTCACAGAGCAACGGCAAACAGCCACGCTGAAGCCGGGCAAGTCTATTGAGTGTGATTTCGCGCCGCTGGCCACTCCTGAGACGGATGGAAGTCTGTCGGACCGAATGGCGGAGAATAGTGCCGGAAGTGGTGGACAGACACCGAAACTAAAGCCATTGATGAAGAAGAAAATCGGCCCTGACAACTACATCAGCACCATTCTGGCGAAGAAGGTGGTTGAACAGAGCGAGAATGTGGAGGAGACTGAAGAAACGGCTGAGGCGAATGGACTGACGCTCCCAGGAGAGCCTACTGCAGAGGATTTCGTGATGGTGAAACCTCACAAGCCACTGACCAGACAATTAAGCAATGGGAAGAGCAAATTCCATCCCAATGGCTTTGTTTCTGCCACTGAGCAAGAGCTCTCTTTCGATGAGGACAATCAACATTACACGTTGTGCAGAAAGCTCTCCCCTCACAGACCCAGAAGTCCTCCTTCCGGATCCTCGACGCGATCCGCTTCACCGCTGGACAACGTGATGTCCTCTCCTGAGGGCGCAGCTTCGCCGATCGTACATCAGAAGCCATTCAGGCCGCAACCGAGACTCCTGACGCGCGTCGGAGGCTCAGGAGGAGGGAATCTCATTTGTCCTCCCACTCCGACTCATCACGCGAGGCGATTAAGGTCTTTGTCGGACAACTTGGGGCCTCCAGAACTTCACTCAAGGGATGTTTTCTCTCCAGAAAGCATCCCATCACCTGAGATTCGACATGCCGAAGTGGTGTTTCTGAGCAAAAGGACCGATATGGGGGCTGCAGGAAGCGATGGCGAGATGTCTATGCGACACTTGACCCCCACAAGACTGCCGTCGATTCCTGAAAGGGCGAGAGGTGCTGTAGCGGAGTCGGAAGAACCATTGCCGCCCGCTTGGGAAGCTCGAATGGACAGTCATGGGAGGATTTTCTACATCGATCACACCACCAGAACGACCAGCTGGCAACGCCCAGGCGCTGCGTACAATGTAGCGTCGATGGGCGGCCGAGAACAGCACAGACAGCAATTGGACAGGAGGTATCAGTCCATTAGACGCACAATAACCAACGAGAATCGACCGGCTGCCGGTTGTAGTTCCACTTCAATTCATCGGGGATCGAATGCCAGCAGTTCGGAGGACTCTACTGATGGGGGAGTGCAGTCGAGAGCTCCTCCATCGCCTGCCATTCAAGAATCTCATCCTGCTCTCTTGATGCTCTCCCGTCCGGATTTCTACTCGATGCTGCACACAAATCCGGATGCTCTGAGCGTGTACAATCGAAATGCCGCACTAAAGCACATGGTTTTGAGGATAAGGAGGGACGCAAACTGTTTCGCGAGGTATCAGTACAACAAGGATCTTGTGGCGTTGGTGAATAGTTTTGCAGCAAGTGACAGAGAGTTGCCGTCTGGATGGGAGACGAAGCTGGATTCGTCTGGAAAGGTGAAGAGCTTTTTCGTTTACTCGTGTGATGGGATGTGACAGATTTTTTATTTGCTCCATATGAATGTATTTGGGTCAGATTTGATTGTTATACTTGTTTTCTAGCAATTCTTCATCGATCACACTAATCGGAAGACTTCCTTCATGGATCCTCGAGTGCCGACGGAGTGTCCGAGGGTGAGACATCGTCCACCGGAGGCAATCAGTGACATCGCTCCAATTCCTCCGCCGCGGCCACCAGCACTTCCACGGCCGCCCATCGGGTCGCCGGACATTCCCGTGGCGTACAACGATAAAGTGGTGGCCTTTCTGCGACAGCCCAACATCCTGGAGATCCTGCGTGAGCGTCAGGGCTCCAGCGGGTGCTCGAGATCGCTGCGCGAGAAGATCAATGCGGTGAGAGTTGAAGGAGCACCAGCTCTGGAGCGCTTCGGACACGATCTGCAGCTGACAATTCTGCTCAGGTATGGAATTTCTGTTTGATCATAGCCAGGAATGTTGCTTTGAGAGGGTGAAAAAGCGCCACTCGCATCCTCTTGCATAGTTTAGGTGGTGCATTGCCTCACGTAGAGGCGCCCCAGAAATTGCTCTCATAATTGCATGAGAATTGCGAACATGTGGGGATTTTGGCAAAGTATCTCTCGCGAAAATTTGATGCTATTATGAGGGCTATTTAGTGATTTATTAGCGATAAAAGTGTCTGCATGAATAATTCATGAGCAAGCAGAAGAGACGAGAAGAGATTCATTCATGAATTCTCATTCATTGATGAGGCCACGATTGACTTGATTGGTTGATGTATTAAGCTTAGAGTGTTTGGAAGAAGGAGTCCCAATTGAGCTCTATGGCTTTTCGTTTCGAAGAGATAAACAGAGCGAGAGAGAAAAAGAAATATATTTATTTTCCTTCACTTGAAGCCAATTGTGTGGCTCTCAAATTAAATCACATTTAAACTTGAGGAGCTTGAGATCTTGGCATTAACCTTGTTAGCAATTTTCGATGGTTCTTATTGCCCACTAATGCAATATCTCGGCTAAATAACTCCTCTCGAAACTTCCATGTGGCGTTTTGTAGTCTAGATCAGTAAATTTCACGCCTCAGCGCAACAATTAAAAGTGAACTCACTCTATAACTTTCCGTTTCTATCATACTTGACTCAGTGTTTGTTTACTCTTTTTGCCTGAGTCTCACGATGAATTGGCTTCAGAATCCAGCGTTGAGTGAGTGGATTTGATTGGGTTTTCAATATTGCTGCGCTTGAAAATAGAATTAAAATTCATGTGCGAAAAAAGTCGACCGAAAAGTTCTTTATCCAATAAAAATACAATACTAATAGTTCAACATAAAATGTTCAAATGATATTCTTTTGAATTATTACGTGCATTTGCAGTTTTTGCATACATCTTCGTATTCTTCTTCTATTTACTAATGATTACACAAATGTGAGACAATATTATCGAGAACAATGGCAGCACCTTGAAAATAATAAGGTTATGTTGTTATGAAGTAAAGACTCAATTGATTGTTAAAAATTGATCTGTATTTTCAAATGGCGCGAGAATTTATACATTGACTCGCATTGTTGAATTGAAAATTCAAGTTATAGAATTTACAATAATTGTTGGCTCCTGCAATCAATTAAAGACATGCTCGAATGTGGTCACTGCACCTGAGATAGACCTTGCGATGCCCAAGTAATTCGGGTTTTCTGCTCATTTTTTCCATCATAAATCTGTGTAGATGCAATCAGTAATCCGGCGTGTCTTTGGCGAGTAATTAAAATTGTGCGCCACTGGTTTTCTGGCGCTGGGAAATGTGGGATTTTTTTTTCTTTCTCTCTCTGCCCATTCAGCAAAAGATATCGATCACATGTGTGGGCATATCTAAGAATCTCTTGGGCCGATGCATCTTGGCGCAGTGCAAGTGCGAATTGAGTGAGAATGCAATTAGATTGAGATTGTTTTGAGCGTTTGGAGTAATTAATGAGTGCTAAATATGGAATTTTATTGAGCTACAAATGGATTAGGATTGATATGTTCAATGATCTCTGGGTGGTGTTTGGACGAATGTTATGACTTTGATCTTGTGTCTTATCACACATCATTGAGGGTGGATGATAGTTTGTGATGTGTTTTCATGGCTTTACGAGCAACTTTTTCACCTACTAAATTACACACAATAAATGGACGTGTTCAAATATCAAGTGGCATAATTAAAATGCACTATAAAGCAATGAAGTCATTAACTAATTGGCATCTCTTAGTTTATTTATTCCTTCTTTTCTTTCCGTGGCTTTTCTGGGTGGGCAATAGACCTTCATGAGGAGGCAATGCTAAATTGCACAACAAATTTTTCACGGGTTTAAATTCGTTCATTTATTTTCCTCATGTATGTTTTTTTTGCCACACACCTTTTTAATCTTGTGGATAAATCGACAAAATGTGCAGAATAAAAACCATGACGATGAAAATTCAATGTGGGTGATTTTCATAAATCAATTCTCAATTACGAACCTCTCGCGGTTGCACTTGAAGGGTGAAAAAAGAAACTCACTTTTGCGCTCTTTGGCGATGTGATATTGAGGTTCTTGGTCGCGATATCGCGAACATAAACTTCCCAGACGCGGAGTAATCATGGAAGGAATCATAAAAGAGGCATAAAAGAAGTGTCTTTCTCGTATGCAAAAATGATACAATTTCTCAAAATCTTATCGCTCACTGTGTGGGTAAATATTGAAGGAATTAGTAATACGATGAATTCTTATATTTTCTCTGAGAATTGCTCAACATTTGCGGAGGAATGTAACGCTATCTGCAACTTCTGCAACGGAAGAACCGTGAGAGAAGATACAAAATATGAATCAGAAAAGGCGCGTATCATTCGCTCTCTAACAGGCAGTGAAGAATTTGCTGATCGGCAAAAGTGAGAGAAATCCTTTCGTTATCGCTCATTTGAGCCATATGGAATGTCTCATGAGAAAATACTTATCGTATTTCCTCTCTGCAGATGCGATGAGAGACATTCATTCGCCTCATTTTTCTGTTTATTTATTCTAGAAACAATAATAATTATTGTGATGTTCTTCCATTGCATTTGATGAATTCCAATGCAAACAAAGTGGTTGTCTTGAGATTATTTTACTTTTGAGTACGATAATCATAAGCTATCTGAAAATTAAATGTCTCTGATGGACAATGAATGAATACGGTGTATGATATTTAGGTTTAGGCACGGGATAAGCAAACGCTCTGTTTAGTTTTTGGAGAGTGGACTTGATTTAAAGCTGAGGTTTAGCCTCAAAAATGGACTGTGACTTCAGGTGCATTCTTGATTCTTTTCTCTGTGTTTATCTTCCTGATCAATTGCTCGATAGATTTGTCGTCTGGCAGGGTGTTCTGCGGAAGTCTGGCTCGATAAGAAGACGGATTAGAGATCGTGATTGCGATATATCCGCTTTGTTTTATCAATTTCTGCTCACAAACTATGATGAAATCCATTCGTCTTATCTTCAATTATATTATTGTCTCTGTTTAGTTATGCGTAGCAATTTTTCTACAATCGAAACACATGAGGGAGCAATGATAGCGACAACAGTGCATTCTTGAGGGTCGGATTGGTTGTGTCGAAAGGGAAGTTCAGTGAGTTGGAGAGTGATTAAAAAGCGATCTGTAACTGTTTCAATAGTAAGATCATCATTGGACTGTGGGAGTGTTTGTGAATGTAAGAATATTCATAAATGTAAAAGAGATAGAAAAACCCCTCCATAAATATTCAAGAAAGAGAGTGAGAGAGGATTCTGTTTAGTATTTATCACTTCCACTTTTCTCTCGTTTATTCTATTTGCTGTCTGATTGATATTCTTCAGACTTTTGTTATTATGTAGTTTTGTCTATAAAGTGTGAAGTCAATTGATGAATTTATTATCGCTATGTGATTTCCTATTCTTGGCATCAAAAGCCAGGGGGAAAAATCACATTGAAATTCTAAATGTGGAAAGTGAGAAATTGCCGTTTAACTTTTTTTTATATTTTCTTTTAGGAATAATTGCAGAGTCTTTTTTTTAGTGTCTATGGCTTTAAATGTAAAGACAATCGTCACTCACCTTCTGTTTGCGCGGAGAGCCAATTAGAAAATGCACAAAGTGTGTGATGATAAATTCAGGGACACCGGAAAAATGCTTCTCTTTTCTCACCCACTTGTGGGTGCTTTTTTTGCAATTCAAATGCAAACTGTAAAGACACTCGAAGCTCTTTTTTTAGTGCTTTTCAGGTAGAATGATAGATAATATGATTAATCATAGCATTTCTAGGGAGAGTTTCGGTTTAGATAAAGAAGTGTAAAACACTGTGAGGCAAAAATAAGTGCACGATAAAGCTTTGTTTGCTTGCGTTCTCAGTGATTCTCATAGTTAATGGAATCTACTTCGAATAGATCTATAGAATTGTTGTGAAAATGTTGTTTAAATTATGCAGAAAATCATACTTTGCATATTGAAAGTAATCAAGTAAGTGAAGAGGTTTTGAGAATTTGCAATTAAAGTGAAATTTTACACTACTCTTAATTAATTTTGCGAAAATGGCATAATTTAAAAAGAATTTCATTTAAGTGTTTTTGTGATTTTACTAACACGATTTATTTTAGTATGAAAGTTTGTCCAAAAACGTTTCTACTTCTCATTTTCGCGTTGAATTGCGATGTCAGGGAAGCTCTTTGCACTCGCGGGCGGCACGCTGAAACGGAAGAACGTTTGGGGCGATGTTGCTCAAGCGCCAGCGAGTGAGCCTCGTGTGAGAACATTAGCGCACTGTAGAGGCCCAAGTTAGACCCCTTCTAGAAGCACTCACACTGCCTTGGCGGCGCGCGTTAGTCAGTTTTGGGCACTCGATCGTTTCGCGCGCACGCGGCTCAGTCTTCTGCCCACCGCCAAGAAGTGGCACGCGATCGGAGCTTATAATTGTCGAGATGAGAATCATCAATCTAATTGCAAAAATCTCATGTGAAAAATTGTGTGAAATTGTCGATTGATTCTTTTGCTTCTCCGCAAATGTGCGTGTAAATCCTTTGGGGTGATTTTCCGTTCCCAAATGGATAAATATTGCCATGATGGTGATTGTTATGCACCTGTTTTTGCTTCTTTTTGAAATGAGCGGGGAATATTGTTCTAATTTTCTCTCTGTATCTCATCAGAGTTGCGAATGACGTGAATTCTAATGGGTTTTCTCACCTGGAGGGGCTCTTTTTGGTATTTGTTGCTGGGAAAATGCCTCTGCACGCGCCGTTTGTCGAAAATGGAAAGTGCGCGCGCAAGTTGGAAAAGGCGTTCAAAGTGCAAATTTTCACTTGAAGAAGGTGAAAATTGCACAAAATGTGAAAATTCACTGTTAGTGGCGTGCTGAGAATTTAGATTTTGTATAATTCTCGACCTTGTTTCGCATTCAATTATTGACTTCTTTATTTTCTAACACCCAATATGGAATAAATGGAAAAGGTTTATTTGTTATTTGATGTTACTGCACTCGCAGAATGCATTTATTTTTTCCTCTGTCTATTTTTATTGATACTCCACTATTTTGCTATTGGGTAATGATGAGTTTTATATGGTGTGAAGTGTGATGTTTCGTCTGATATTTCACACTCTGAATGACTTGAATTCTCTATTGAACTTGTATAATAGTGCTACGCTTTGTTTCTTGTTTTGAAGAGCCTCTGGACGAGAGAGAAAATTTGAACAGTGTTCTGGAGAATAGAGTCTGTGCATCTTCGCGAGAATTTCTTATATATATTTTTTATGAGCATGAAGTGCGCAAATGTCGCGTGGGTGGTCGCGAAGAGAGTTTCCTTCTGTGGAAAACAATTGGAGGATTTGTTTTCCATCCATTCCACCTGACTCACTCGGTGTAACATTCTCAATTTCCTTATCAATCTCAAGGTGATTGTCCACTGGAAATGGAAGCGATGCCCAATGAAATTGACGGATATAATAATGAATTAAATCCGAGCTCGCATATCAGCTGTAGACGTTGAATTTCATCAATGGAAAAGTGGTGATTTTCTCCCAGTGACAAGAATTGGCGATGTATGATTATGCCTCATGTTTGGCCATAGAGTGTGTCAGAAAGTGAGCAAGTGAGGTTAATCAGAGGATCGCAAAAAGTGTAACATTTACCAGAGTTTTGATGACAATCGTGCTTTAGTACAAATGAATGAGTTAAACGTGTAAAAAATGGGATTTATTACAAAGGCCATATCCATAGTATTTGCACTGTAAGTATTCAGAGAGTTTTTGGGTGTCTTTTACAGTGTGGTGTTGAAATGAGTAGTGCAAAACATTGAATTCTGAGGATTATATCGGCTCAGTAATTAGCACGATTGCTTCAAATTTTTTAACCACTTTATTTTCTAACAATAACTCATGGCAGTAAGTGTAATCTATCAAGTGCGTCTGTATATTAGTCATAGCTCTGTGAACTTCTCACCGGCCACAATTACATCTGACCAGAACGTCCAGGTGTTGTTGAAGTGGCGAGGGTCTGAGCGTGTGTTTCCGGGCACATTAATGGGGAACATTGTGGGGTGTTGTCGGGCGATTTGATTGCGAATTTGGGTCGATATTTCAGGGTAAACGGACGCCAGGTTGTGCTTCTCGCACGGATCTGAGGGGATGTGGAAGAGACAGGGCGCTCTTTCTGGGTTGCAATCTGCAGTAGTGGGTTTAGTGGCGTTTCCACACGTGATGGTCGCTTCAGTGCGCAGTGAGTTGATTCTTGTGTCGCTGAGATTGGTTTGAGAGTGTTGATTGAGCGCTGACCAGGCTCTGGAGCCGATGAGGGATGATGAGTAGTTGGAGGTGAGCGTTTCATTTGATGGGAGGATTCCTAGCCATCCTGTGTGGTTGACAGATTGAGATCCGTTGATGAACTTCCAGCCGTCGGTGAGGAAGACGACGGATTGTGTGATGGGATTCAGACTGTGGAGGATCTCAGAGCGTGGAGATGGTTTGTTGGAGGATAATGCTGGCCAGAGGTTGATTCCATCCAAATCCCGCGGCAAAGTGCCAATGTTGGCCATCGCCGCGAGTGTCGGCAGCCAATCTGCAGTGTGCATTAATTGTTGGGCGACGCGATGGCGTGACTGGAGGATCGGCGACCAGAGTGTGGCCACAGCACGAAGTCCCCCCTCGAATGGGCCCATCTTCTGTCCACGCAGTGGATAATTGGAAGCGAAATTCCTCAGGTGTCCTTCCGCCATGCCACCATTAGTCGAGATGAAGACAATTACGGTGTTGTTGAGGAGCTGGCGAGAGCCCAGGGTATCAATTAGACCGCCAATTTCTTCGTCCAGCTCGTGGGTCATTGAGACAAAAAGTCGCCTCTGCTGATCGTGGATGCGATTGAACTTCTGCACCGTGGCCAATGGGGCTTGCAAATGCCCATCACCATTCGCTCCAGGCGCCACGTGATTGACCACGAGGAAGAGAGGGTGTTCCCGGAAGTCGTGATCTTGCACTATCTGCATTGCTACCTGGCTGAAGAGTCTCGTTGCATACGTTCCTTGGCTCTTATCTGAGGTTGCTGTGCCGTTTCTCATGTCCAAACCTCTGGAACCGCCTGGCACTTGATGAGTGTGGTTGAAGTAGTCAATGCGACCACCCCAAGGTCCAAAGTGATGATTGAATCCCCTTTTCAGAGGCGTAAAGACTTTCTGGTGAAAGCCCAAGTGCCACTTCCCGACCAAATAGGTCTCGTAGCCCGCTTCTTTGAAGAACTGCGGCATTAACTTCTCCATCTGACCCAGTCCTGCACTCTCGTCATTCTCCAGTGATGCCGCCTGAAGTCCCAACCTGGAAGGGTACTTTCCGGTGAAGAATGACGCCAGAGATCCGGAGCAAACTGATGGGCTGTAGTAGTTGTTGAGGATCAGGCCTTGATATCCCAGGCTGTCGATATTCGGAGTGTAGAATTGATTAGAACCATGAAAACTGACATCGTTGAAGCCCAAATCATTCGCCAGGATGATCACAAAGTTCAAGGGATTCTGGCACTGAACCAGAGGGATAAAAATGATCAGGAAAGACAGTGAAAATATTTGATTCATGCTTAATCACAGTTGGAGAGCCACTGAAGGCTAGTTTGGCATTGAAGGGCCTTTTGTAGGTACTTTTGTCACTGCATTTTCTTCACTTTCTTTCCCAAACTACCGTTTAAATGGGGAAGTTGTTAAAAATAGTCTTTCGGAATTAAAGATTTATCGCAATATTGGATTGTAATGGGTTAATAGATGAACATATTTTCATTTCATCTACGCACTCTGAAAAGTGCTCTCGCTAAATATACAAACAATAAAAAAAGTCGTTGATAATAAAATGAAATTTGACGATCAACGAAATGAGATTCATTGGTTTGTCATTGAGTGAAGTTACCTAATAAATTGATATGATTTGTGATCCAATTAGGCTCTGGATCGCATTTGGAGGAGTGGAAAATGCGCGCACGGGTTTTGTTTGGCTCTGTCACACATTTAGCCGCAATATTGTACTTCTCTCTGTGTTTATCTTTTAAACAATCCATGACTGATTGTGAGCCTCAAAAGAGTGGTTTGAGGAAGTGTCGAAAAGGAGGTCGAAGATTTGTCTTTTTGCGGGCGTGCGAGATTGCGATAAGAGGTGGGGAAAAAGTGTGTGCCGCACGGATTAAGATTGGCCCTTTCTGCTCTTCCTCATTTCAGTCTGTTCGAGAATGAGATCATGTGCTATGTTCCAGTAGAGGCGAGAAGTCCTCAGGGATCGCCCAACATGGGTAACTCCAGAGCGCCGCAACGCGGGCCGCCACCCTTCCGGAGGGACTTTGAGGCGAAGTTGCGCGCCTTCTACAGGAAGCTTGAGTCCAAAGGATACGGCCAAGGACCGCACAAGCTCAAGTGAGTACAAATGGCAGTGAAATTCCTAATTTTTCACAAATTAATCAATCAAATTAGTCTCTTATGCAAAACACCTCGCGTAGATTCCGTAGATTTGATTGAGATTGGAGTGGAACTAATGTGGAAAATCAGATGGATTATAAAATTCTCAATTAGGAATGCGAATGAGTAATTGGACTAATATGAATTTGCCATTCAATTATTCCTTGATTGAGTGAGACATTGAGATTCATTGTTCAATGGCGAGGAAATGATATTTTTGAATTTTGACCCAATTGTAAAAATTAAAAGCTTATAGAAGTTGTTGATTTAGATCCAAGATGTAGAATACTAATTTTAGAGTTGATTTCTCTTCTAGATTATTGTGTATACTTCTATTGAATACAAATTACAATATTTTTCCATGAGAACTAGACCAAGAATCTAACTATGTTTCATGAAATTGACGAATGGTTCCAAAGAGCGAGCAACAAGATGATTTAAATTTACTGCATATGATAAAGAGAGCAATTTGATTTAGGGCATCCTTGTATTAGTTGTAATATGTCAGACAAATTAGGTCGACTTGTATACCTGCCGACGGGGTTGCAGTGTCAATTAGCCAGTTTTGTGATGATATTTGCCTGGAGTTTTTATATGGCAAATACATCTTTCAGACATTGTCAAAGAATTAACAATCTTTCCCTGTTTTTAGGCTTCACATTCGGAGGTCAAATTTGCTGGAGGACGCCTTCAGGCGGATCATGTCGGCCAACAAGAAGGATCTGCAGCGAGGTCGCCTGGCTGTGCTGTTCGATACTGAGGAGGGCCTCGACTATGGCGGACCGTCGCGGGAGTTCTTTTTCTTGCTTAGCCGCGAGCTCTTCAATCCCTATTACGGCCTGTTCGAGTACTCGGCCAACGACACGTACACCGTCCAAGTGTCACCATTGTCCGCCTTCGTGGACAACTCACATGACTGGTTCCGCTTCAGTGGACGCGTCCTGGGCCTTGCACTCGTGCACCAGTATCTGCTGGACGCGTTCTTCACGAGACCCTTCTACAAGGCGCTGCTGCGACTGCCGGTGGCGCTCAGCGATCTTGAGTCGCTGGACAGCGAGTTCCACCAGTCGCTGCAGTGGATCAGGGACAATGACATCGGGTCGGGAAGCAGCCTGGGCCTGACGTTCTGCGTGACGGAGGAGTTGCTGGGACGCGTGGTGGAGCGCGAGTTGAAGCCTGGCGGGAAGAATGTGGGCGTGAATGAGAAGAATAAGAAGGAGTATCTTGAGAGGATGGTGAAGTGGCGCCTGGAGAGGGGTGTCCAGGAGCAGACTGAGTCCCTGGTGAAGGGCTTCTACGAGGTGGTTGATCCGCGGCTGGTGGCCGTGTTCGATGCCCGCGAGCTGGAGCTGGTGATCGCTGGCACGGCGGAGATTGACATCGCCGACTGGCGCGTGAACACGGAGTACAGGAGTGGCTATCACGATAACCACCAGGTTATCATCTGGTTCTGGCAGGTGATTGAGAAGTTCACCAACGAGCAACGACTGAGACTGCTGCAATTTGTCACGGGCACGTCCAGCATCCCGTACGACGGCTTCTCGGCGCTGCGGGGCTCCACGGGGCCTCGGCGGTTCTGCATCGAGAAGTGGGGAAAGCCCATCGCACTGCCCAGAGCGCACACGTGCTTCAACCGCCTCGACTTGCCGCCTTATCCAACGCCTGAAATACTCCACGAGAAGCTTCTCCTCGCCGTTGAGGAGACCAATACCTTCGGCATCGAGTAATCACGCTGTAACCGTACGAGTAGGATATTTGCTAGGAGCTTAGGGACTCTAGGAGGGCTTCTCAGGATTTTGTGTTCAAGTTTTTCGATGCAAGTGTCAGAAAGTTTTTCTCAAAACCGCCTGAGAAAGTCAATGGATTTCCCTAGAGTAATTCACAATACATAAAATTTTTATTGAATGGCATGATAAATACAATCAAAATCGAATTCAATTTCTACCGATTGGCCTTAAGATAAACCATTTGATGACGAAAAAAAGACATTTTGTATAAGAAAAGTGGATAAATTGTAGGCATTTTACTCACAACTTTCCGTCTCTCGACAACACAAAATGTTGCAAGTATTCACACACAAAACACAGTAAATCTAGTCAAAGAGTTAAATGAATTAAATACTAAAGGAACCTATGATGATGTTAGCTAGAGTGTTTATAAATGTAGAAATTATTATTGATCGAGTTGATGAGAATTTCCTTCTTTCATTCCTCTATAAAAAATGCCAGTATATTAATTGACGAGTCGCATAAACTTGTGAGAATGATGAATCTTTTGTACAGTCCTTTTGTTGGAATTATTTTAGTGTCTTGGAGCGACGATGAATGACAAATAAATGCGGATTTATTGAAGATGAAGAGTTTTCGTTATCAATTTGGCTGGATGTGGCGGTTTGTGTTCGAAGCGAGTGTGGAAGGCAGAGCCTCTGGCGGGGAAGTGCTCGGGCGTTTTCGGCTCCGCGTGGTCGTTGAAACCATCTCGCCAACAGCAGCGCCAGATGGGTGGAGTGAGTGGTTCTCGGAACGCGAGTTGTCAGTCATACGTTGGACGTGAGTGAAGTTGTTTGCTAGCGCAGCGAATTTCGTACATTCGGGCGGGCGTGGTGTAGATTGATTGTAATAATTCAGCATTAGCGGCCGATTGAAGGCCGTGCGAACGTTCAGGACTATCGACAGGCTATCGTGGAGCACGTAGCGTGCGTGAGCGGCCACTTGGCGTAGTTCTTGTGAGTGCTTTGGCGGAAAACAAGCAGCTGCTCGATCTGCTTGGGTGTTTTTGTGTTGGTGAAACGGCCTTTCAAAGTCGCCTCCTCGCGATCTCGCCGTCCCGCTCACGCGCATCCGGAGAGGCTCTTCCAGACGCTGGGCCGAGGGGCCTCGAGACAGGAAGCGCGGCCAAGATGCAGATTTCCGATGGCATCCGCCACGTCGGCGACGGCTGGCTGGAGGTCACGGAGGAGCGCCTCCAGGGACTCATCGTGCACGAGGACATCAATGACGTGTACGATGTGGAGCAGACTCCCTTTGCCAGGTGAGTTCCCGTGCCTAGAATATTGCGTATCAGCGCCAGACTGTTTGCTCGCCGCTCCAGAGATTATTCCGGGTGTTTGTTGAGTGTGCGACTGGGAAATTCAGGGACGCCTCCAGAGGGAAGATTCTGAGGGTTCTCGAAAGTCAAACAAGAGCGACACGAATTTGCATTTGGGGATTTGGAGTGTATTTTAGGCAGTGTTCACGTCTCGATTCATAGCTTGAGTCACACAAGTTTCCAGTTTATGAGTTAATCCGATCTTGATATAGCACGCAAAATGATGAATTCCACGCCAAGAAAATGATTCTACAGAAGAACTTAGGTTTAATTTCAGCTTCATTTTTGGTTTTTCTCATGTAGAAAAATTCTACTTTATATATATTTCATTTTCACGTTCTGATGCAATTTTAAGATCTTAATATGATTACATGGGCCTAAAAGACTCTAACATGCGATTCAATCTTGTCTTGTATTTCAAGAGAACATTTTTCCTAGCCAATCTGATTTCCTTGGTCAGTATTTGCCGAAACCTTACGCAATCTAACTTTTATATCTGCACCGTCAGTCGTGATAACGAGGAGGGAAGCTCATATCAGGTACATAAGAGACGTGTTGGGTAACCAAACCACGAGAGTTTTCTCAATGAACATCTACTAACAAGTCGACTGGCTGTACATATAAAATAAAAATGATCTTGGCGCCTAGACTAGCATCTGTAGATGATTTCTGGTCCATAAACAAGAATTTATATCAAAACCTATCGATGCAATTTACGGATTTGCATAAAGTTGGAATATAATTAGACGCCAGGCAGTCTTAACCTTTTCCCGTCTTCCTCAAACGATAAATTGCGTGCTGAAGTAAGTGGAAAGGAATTTGTCTAGGATCCTATTTGATAGTTGATAAAGTCAGAGAGTGATCAATCATGGTGAATGGCGGGAGTTTTGAGAGCTCCCCCATTGTTTGATTGCATGAACAAATGTCTATATTCGGCTAATAGTTATGGGTAAAATCCACAAGAAAAAGTTGCAAAAGAAATCACACATTTTCTGTGCTGTTATTTGACAAATATTTTGCAATCGACATTGATTTTGTGAAAGGCTCTAATATGCTTGCGAAGAGAAGTTCAAGCCCACAACTTGATATATTGACAGTGCGACCTTCTGATAAGGTGTTGGACTTGAAGAAGAGTTTCTCGCTCGACTGTCTCTGTGTTGAGAGTGGGCCAAGCGAATGTGTGAAAGGGCGATTTTGGGGAATCACTCGCAATTGGTTGAGTAGAGATGATAAGGCGCTGGTGTGATAACGCACAAACATGCTCAGTGTTACGCAAATCTGATTACGAATTGCGTTGAAATTCTTTGTATCTCAGCTACAAACACTGGATGATGAATTTGATAAAGAGAGTGTGGCTTGATTAGGTTCGCCTCAACCTCTTTTCTCGCTGTCTTGCGATTTACACTGTCAAATAATCTGGTACTAATGTGTGCCATTGTATCCGTGAAGGTAGTTTCTCTCTTGCAGACTCTATATTCTTTGCGTGTGTCAATTTGGGGGTCACTGCTGTGTGTGGCTTGCGCTTGAGGAACAAAAAAGCCCCTCTGAAGTATTCACAATCCGTGCGTCTTTCATGACTCTTTCCCGGGGCTCAACAGCCAAGAGATACAGAGAGAGAGAGAAAGAGACATTTCCAGATGGAAATCAATTAGTGATTGCGCAAAGTATGGGTTGGAATAAAGGGCGGGCAAGGAGGAAGCATAGAAGAATTGGTCATTGTGTGAGTTTTCTGCCTCTTTAATCGCACTAATCCCCTTGTCAGATTTGTTTAAAGTACGATCAAGGTGGTTGGAAGAGTGGCAGTTGAGGAAAAAAGGTGGGAGACTAAGAGATAAAAACGTGTAAACTCTTATCTTGTGAGGAGTGTTGAGGAAAATGTACGAAGCATTGATACAGTGTGTCAAGGATGTGGTGTGATTGACATTCTTCAAGTCAAAAAAGCGTCAATCATGGCTTATTACCACTGCTGAGGTCTTAAGAAGTGTTAGTGATTCTTTTTCTTTATTAATCCTCAGAAGGAAATTGACAGAAGAATCAAAGGAATTGATGATGAATTTAATAATTTTTTAAAACAAATACACAAAAAGGCATTCAAGTTACAATCACATAATGTGTATTCTGGTCAGTTTGCACTGATGAGGAATTCAAAAAAAGAACGTTAAAAGCGAGTTGAATAATTTTTTAGGGGAGATTTTTATGGTCACAAGCAGAAACTTCTTAAAGCCTGTCTCTTGACGCTCTCGAACATCCAGTGTGAGAGGTAAGGTTGAGCCATTAAAGATCCTGTACTCTGAAGTGTTGGAAGTGGAATCACACCCCCCGTCATGCGATTGTGAACCCTGCCTTTCTGAGTGGAATCTTAATTGTTCAGTCCATTTTGGTGTGCATATCTAATGTTTTTCGGTTTGGTGGATAATATGTTCCTGTTTCATGTTTGAACATGATTAATTGGCATTACCTTGAGATTTGAACTCCAAAAGTGGCTCCGTGATAGGAATGTGTCTAGTGTCGAAGTCCACATGGACTTTTAGGTATGGAGAATTAATTGATCGCGGAGATTCATGCAAGTTTCCTTACTCGATCGTGTCACAGGTTTTTTTTTTCCTCTGTCTGCGCATGGCAGAAAGAAGGGTAATTTGGGTGGAATTTCGGAGAAAAACACATCTTTCTCGAGAGAGTGAGAGACATTCTTAGCGTCATTTCTCAGTGCTGTTAAACTTTGCCATGCATGAGAACTATAAAGAGAAGTATATACTTGGAAAGGTGAAATTCTTTTGGGATTTTCATGGCACTCAATGTTCATTAACATTGTGTGATAATGAGTTTTATTGCTGTGCGTATTATTTTGGAGAATATAATTCGCCCCTTTGTCCATTCTTGGGACAATCTTAATAAATCACTCACGCATTCGCGAAGCTGTAAAAGTTGCTAAAGTCACCTCACAGATTTATATCCCGAATCAATTTTCATTAAGCACAATTTTTGGGCGACAATGCGAAAAGTCACTCCGGGAGAGTAAATTTTAACAATATATTCCTCGTAAGAAGATTAGATGTTCGTTGTCTGCTGGCGCAGAGTGTATTTGTGTATGTTTGCCGCTCTGGTCAAATGGTCAGAGTTTTATGATCAAGTGGTTCGATTTTTTGTCCTCTTCCTCTTGTTAATTTCTGGTGTTCCTCATTGATTGGGTGTCTCTTTAATGGCGTTCTTGGCAACCACAGAGAACGCGCATCTCCGGGGGAGTCCAGAGGCTGCCCATCGTCTCAGAGGCGGAAAGAGACAAGATTAATTGTGACATTTTAAATCAGACGTTTGAGTGTGGTCCTCGAGAATTCTTTCTCAATCTTTCACTTTTCTCTGCGCCTCGCCGCCACCTTTCTTGACCTTTTTTCACGTTTTCTCGCCTCGCAATTTGCTCTTGTCCACGGTAATTACCATAAAGCCATCTCGCGAGAGATGTTTCCGTGAGAAATCGGTCGAACAGGCGTTCGAAGGGCGCAGGAATGGCGATGGGCATTCCCGAAAGTTACTTGACTCCGTCTCGAGTGGGTTTATGACCGAAAGCAGCGGAAAAGTTTACAAACTTGCACTTTGCGTGGCAAAATATTACTTAATTAATCTTGGCTTCAACTTAAAGTTATGCGTTATTGAATATTGAATTGAAGAAACGGTTGACTGAAGGGCAGTTGGCGAAAATCCTATTTTATCTTGCTTCCTAATGTTAATTACAAAGTGAGAAAAATTTGATTTTATCACTGAGAGTCTAGAAGATCAAAATTTGGGAAATCACAAATTTTTTCTTATTTCAAATTTTGACTTTTCGGGAAAATTTGCCGAGTGTGATCTGTTGGTGAGCTCTTCAGGCTTTGCCAGAACTCGAGGGCCGTCCGGGCAAAAAAGTGGCCGCGCGATCAGGTCATTTGCCTCGCCAAACATGAAAACCAGCGCGTCCAGAATTAATTTGTGGATTGGCGAACGTTGGGAGGGAGGAAGGCGAGAAGAGAGGCGAAAGAGCAGAGCGAAGAGATGAGGAATGTCAGGATGAAAGAGTCCCACAGTGATGATGGCGCGGGGAGAATAAAAATGTTTAACAACACATTAATTCACGAGGGAATCTGGACAGCGTCCGCGGCAGTTCAATTTCTCGTTTATCGATCACAACATTGAAGAGGTTCCATTGACTTTTTGCGGTGTTGAGGAAAAGGAGGCAAAAAAATTCCTTAGCGCGAAAATATTTTGGGTGAAATTGCGGAGAAGGAAACGAGGTTTCTCATGTGCCTTTAATGGGCGTCTGGTTTTTATTCTCTTTCTCTGGTTCAATTATTTATAGCAAATTTCACTCCGGATGAAATATTTATTTTATTGAAATGATTTTCTCAGTTCTTGCCACGATTTTGTAATTGCCTGTCTTGTACGCCGTCATATTTTTGCCATCTTCATATCAAGATCAACAGGAAGAGGCGATCGTAATGTCTTGAGCATAGGCAGAATGATGTTCATGATCAGGGTCAGAAGAGAACAGTGTGTTATTTCTGAAGAATTATGGCGAAGGAATGTGCAGAAGAGGAATTAGCAACTGAGTTTCTCCTTGACAGTGAGGCTCTTATTTCAAATTTAGAATTCTTCTGAGAACTGATCCCAATAATTTGGTGTCCTCTTTGTTATATTTTGGTGGTCAAAACTTCATTGAATATGCAATGTGTCTGGCCGGTGGAGGATTTAAATGCTGGCGAAATGTTGTCCGGCGAGATTCCAGTGATGGAGAGACAAAAGGCGAGACTTTGGCGGCAGAGCGATGGGAATTGTGAATGGATTGCATTTAGTGGTATTACGGAAAATTTGTTAATTTTCTCACATTGGTTGAACAACAGTTTCGAGCATTTGTGCAGTGAGTTGTTCTGAGATCGTGCTTAGGGAATTATGATAAAGTGGGCAGAGATCTT